TATTATTTTTTAATTTAGTAATTGTACTACCTACCTAATATAATAAATACCCTTTCAACTTACAATATATTACACAAATGTCATTACTTTTATATTACACCATACTAATAGAGGTATTTTTATTTTTTTTTACTACAATCCAATATAATATTAATATTAAAAAATCTACATGTAAAGAGCAAATGTCACCCTTTCAATTGAACGGAGGGAGTATATATTTTTTTTAAAATGTAAAATTAGATTTTGATGTTATAAAATAAATGAAAATTTAATGTTTGATTTGATATTTTAAAGAAAAAAATAAAATTGAAATAATAAAATTACGAGTAAAATCTTATAAGTAAACATAGCCTTGTAAAATCTACAAACAAACGGAACCTAACTCACTAGACCTCGAGGTAATATTATTCTCGTTTAGACCTCGAGGTAATGTTATTCTCGTTTTTGGCCCATAACTTTTACATGTGGCGCACGCGCATCCCAAATTTAAGGAGTGTTTATTTTATCTTTATGTTTGTAGTATTTAAAGTTGTTTTGGTTCTAATTGAAATGATTTATTAATTTAAATTTTTATTTAAAGTATATTTTAATATAATATTTTTATGATAAAATATAATGTAATTACTCCCTCTGTCGTTCAAATTTATGGTCACTTTCTTTTTTGGATTGTCATTGAAAAATATTCTCATTTTTTTTAAAGTAAAAAATTATTATATTTTTGTATTTTTTTATTATAAAAAAAAATAACCATTATTACCCACTTTTATTAAAATTTGTGTCTGATCAAATGATCACACATTTTGCATGATGGAAAAAGTATTATTGAAAACTGTGCATATTGATAGTATAAATATATAATTTAAAATTATAAACAAACAAACCCTTTATTATATTCCCTTAGTTTAAAAAGAATGTGCTTATAATAAAAAATATAAAAGATTATATATTCTTTTTTATTAAACAATAAAATAAAAATATTTTTCAAAGACAAACAAAAATAATAAGTGAACATATTTTTTAGAAGATATAAATAGTAAATTTATAAAGTATTTTGTTATGTAGATACTGATATTTATATACAATACAATATAATATTATGCTACATAAAAGCATACGTTGTTCAATTTATATTTATTTATTTATTGTATTCTACTTTATAAATATATTGATGAAATCAATAATATATCATATTAAATTATAATACTATTTTCCAACTCTAAAGGTCTAATTTATTTTTTGCGTGTTGATATTTGAATGTTAATTATTATATCAAAACGTAATACAAATTAAAAAAAAAAGTTATACAAATATTTTTATTAGTGTCTTATAATACTAATGGAATGATATTTGTATACAAATATAAGAATATTTTTAATGTTAAGTACAATGACGCAAAAGGAAAATGTGACCCTTAAAGACGGACAGACCAATAAAGTATATGTTATGCAATGTATTATCAAGCATTTTCAATTTTAATTAAATATATTAATTAAATCAGATTACTACTATACTGATTTTAACACACTTGTGGGTGTGTTTGTTTGGGGGATTGGATTGGATTTACACTATTTATCCAAATTTTTTCTCCCAAAAACATCAAATCAAACATCTATTTTTCATTTTTTATATTATACTAAAAATCAATTTTACATTCAAAACATCACATCAACACCTATTTATATCACATCATACAATTATTCAAATTCAAAATTTTTACTATTTAAATCCCAACTCAAAATCCAAACCCCCAAAACAAACACACCCTAAATATAAATAAATGTATATAGGTTTTTTACTTAGTATTTTGGATGAAATTATTTTTAATTATAAGAATGAAAATTATATTGATAATATAAAAATAGTAATACTTTGTCTTAAATTATTAATTTTTAAAATAAAAAAATATTATATATATATTGTATTAATGCATATAAAATTTATATATATTTTTAAATATTTATGAAAAAGAATGTCAGATAACAGCTAAATGTCACGAACTGACATTCATATCCCTAATTCTCGACCATAGTCCATCCCATGTGTGCGAGTCTCTATTCTATACGGCCGACTAATGACCCATATCTTGGTGCAGGTACGTGTTCCGCATTATTCTCCCATACTGTATGGTATATCCTGAACGTGTTGCACATAAGGGACGGCTGGTCTGTGCCTCAGCGCGGACGTGACCTAGGCACCGGGCGAGTCCGGACACGTTACTTAAATGTGAACAAACTTATCTTAGTAACTTAATTAATCAGCTAATATACTAACTAGAGCATTTATTGGATAATTTCTGTCACAAATCTCCATACATGATCATTAATTTAAAAATAAAAACTTTAAAATATAAAAAAATAGTGTACTGTTTAAAGTGAAAGTCAATCAACACTTTTATATTACACTTTAGCCAATTGAAAAATTAAAATAAAAAATAATAATAATAAATCCAAACTTCCTGCTCAAGTCATTTATAATTTTGTTTATTTAAATATATATGTGTTGTCATAATTTATTTAGGGTGTTACTTTGGGTTTCGTTTAAAAATTTTGATTTTAATTTTTAATTTTTTACTATCTTCTTTATACTCATTTTAATATAATATTATATTATTATTTTTAAAATTTTGTATCAAACTCCAATAATGCTATTGTTCTACAACGAAATAAAGTATTTATTTATTAATGAATAATATAAAAATAAAACAAAAATTAGTGAATAATGTAATATGTCATAAAAATATTTAAATTGATTATATATTTTTTTTTTAATAACGTGAGAATCGACAAAAATGTTGATTATATTTATCAATTATAATTTAGATTGATATATATATATGCTCAAATATGAAATTTAAAAATAATAATATTTTAATAACATTATGAGTAGATAATAATATTGTTTATTATAAAAAATTATGTGTAAATTTAATAAATAATAACAAAAAGAAAATGTATCACTTGATATTAACGAAACTAAAAAGTAAAGAAGATGCGTGGCAGCATTTCACGTTTCTTATAATTTTATTATTCTATTTATATAATTAAAATAATAATAATAAGAATAAAGCGATGAATAAACGCAAAAGGAAAAAGTCCCAACCCGGCACGTGATTTAGTAAATGCGCTTTCATTTTTAATTAATAATAAAATAATAATAATAATATATAGTAGTACAGGAATTAAAAACATATTTAATTTATATGTTTATAAAATTTGATAAAAATGGATAAAACAATAGAAGGTGTCAGATTTTATTGAATAAATTTAATAGACTAGCTGGTGTATTAAAATTATTAATTTATTTAATAATAGGTCCCTAGTTCACATTATATTTATTTATTTATTGAAAGGGAGACGTCGCATTCATTGGTAGTGCGACTTTAGCTGTAATGAGAATCACGATTTTAATGGAAAGTAATGTTGGCGTTGGAGGTCTCATCTCTGGGACCATTGTGGCCTTGTGGGTCCTTTCCTTTTATTTATCATGTATTCAAATTAATATTCATTATTTATTTGATATGATTTTTAATAAAAAAAAAAATATACTATTTTGTACTATTCTAAGTGTTTCATTTATTTTTTGCACTTTGAAATTTGAGTATTATTTATTATATCAAAACATAGTACAAATTAAAAAAAAAATTGCATAAATATTTCAATTAGTGTGTTATAATACTAATAGAAAGATATTTGTAAAAAAAATTATACAAATATAAGCATATTTTTAATATTGAGTACAGTGATACGAAAAATAAATGTGACCCTTAGAGATCGGACGGAAAAAGTGTATTTTTTTTATTCACTGCTAATTTTTTTATTTGATTTTTGTATACAAATTAATAATAAATTAATGATTTATAGATATATAGTGTAATAAAATAATATAATACTCCCTCGCTCATATAAGAAGGATATTATTTTATATTTTTATCCGTTCCAAAACAATGTATCGTTTTTTTTAGTTTAGAAATTGTACTATATAGTAACATAATAAATACTCCTACAACTTACAATATATTAAACAAACGTCGTTACTTTTATATTATACCATATTAATAGTGGTATTTTTGTCTTTTTCTTTATTATAAACTAATATAATACTAATATTAAAAAATTTACATAAAAAATCAAATAGTAATCTTGTTGCAGAACGGATATAATATTTATTTTACTATTGGAAAGTAATATTAATAAATAGAGATATTTTAATATTTAGTTGATAATTATTTTTTTAAAAATATATAAAGTTTTGATTTAGATATATTAAAAAACGACAAATAAAAATTTATTAGTGGAAAAAATAATATTTTTTATAAAATATTGCATTAAAATAATATTTAAAAATAAAATTCAAATAAAAAACTTAAAGAAAAAAAACCCTAATACACATTTGTACTTTTTTATTTTATTAAAGTTTAAGCAAAATAATTACTAAATACTCCATTTGTTCCAAAATTATAGTTTAAGTTGTGTTTGACACCGGATTTAAGAAATATTAATATTATATTGATAGTGGGTAAAAAATATAGGTAAAGGATTTTTTTGTTATTGTGAGTGTATTAGTGTAAAAAATAGTAGTAATTGTGTAATAATAATGAAAAAATAAATGTAATTTTATAATGATATAATTATTTATAAAAATAAGACTTGTTTTGAAACGAACTAAAATATTAAATATCACTATTGTATTCAACATTTATAAAAAATCGTAACATTTAATTGTGAATAAAATAAAATTTTAATAAATCTTGCAAACAAGCCCTATCTATCTTATTGTTGACTTATTGTTATTTATTGTGACAGAATCCAATGCCCATATAGAGATATATATATATATATATCTTTGCTGCTTGTATCGTGTTGAAATTTTATTATTATTATTATTATTTATTTTTAATATATTATAAGTATTTAATAATTAATTGTCCTTTAGAATTGTAAATATTGCGAAAATAATTAAATGCGAGGGCAAAAATGTAATTTAATTATATATAAACTTTAATTTAATCCTTAATTGCCATAATTCTGAAGAGGGTGACAGGCGGTATATATATTGATGAAAGATCACAGGCGACAACACTACAGCATGTGAGGTGATTGAAAATGGACGGATCAGATTATTTCACTTAAGATTAAGAGAAGGTCAAATCTGCGGCTGTGATCTGACTGTGAGCCATCCAAGGTGACAGTTGGCACTGACACAGCTGCACGCCCCCTTCAGCTTCATTCATTAATTCATGTTACTTCAATTCTTTTGCTAAAACCGAATGCTTCTATAATTTTTAAATATTTTTTTTTATCCTCCCTCGAATTTTATATTTTACATAATAAAGTTAGACTTGTGCCCATAACATTTCAACCATAAAAAGAATAAAAAATTAAATAAATAAATCACCACTGTTACTTATTATTGTATTATTGTAAAATACTTCCATCGTCACAAATAAGGTGCAACATTTACTTTTGATACGAGTTTTTAGATGAATAGTATTAAATATGATAATTTACAAATTAGGTGATATAATGGAAAGATAAATATATATTTTATTTTTTTATTTGAATGATGTGAGAGAATAAAGCGTAGAGTACAAATTAAGTATAATTAATTATTTTTTATTTTGAAAATGTATTTGAGATATACAAAAAATATATATATATATTGAAGGATGTTTGGAATGGAGGACAAAATAATCAAAATCAAATAAAGCTGAGGAGTGTTTGGTCATGTTTTCAAATAGAAAATCTTATTATTCACTTCACATTATTAACAATCAAAATATATATATATTTTTTAAAAATATATATATTATATTAAAATACAATTGAAATAGAAAGATTCAAACCCAAATCTAAACCCAGACAAATTGTGTATTTTTATTGTTATATATTTATATATTTAATTTTAAAATAATATTTTAAAAATATTATGTACTATAAAAAGCACTACATACACTCATAATTATGTTAACAAAACCCAAACAAACAAAACCCCCTATTATTCAACTGTACTACCAACAAATTTTTCTATAAGCTCTTTTTTTTTTTTTTTTTGAGAAAAAAAAAAACATTTTTGAAAAAATCAACAATCAGTATAAACTGTAAATTCTATAGGAAAAGAACACAAATAATTAATCACCAAATAATTAAATTCCAACTTACTGTTACCTCTCCTAACCACACTGTAATTCCCCAAACCCGATTTTACCCCTAACTGCCCAACTCCGAGTTGACTCAACTCGGGCAGCGCCGACTCACTCGCCGGAACCAATTCCACGTTCTTCAAAAAATAACCGTTTCCGACGAGCTGGTTGAAAACCGCCGCCTCCGTCACCGGATTCTTCTTCTTCCTCTGCCCCATCGCCGCCCTCACGATCACCGTCAACATTTCATTCGCTAACCGGCGAACTCCTTTCGCGCCGCCGATCACAATTCCGGCGTGAACCTGCCGCGGCCGGGCCGGACCGCGCCGGCCGTGCTTCCCGGAAACCGGCTGGCTTATGTGCTTCAGAAGAACCGACTCGGGGCTCAGACTCCTGAACCGGCCGAGCGGATCCCCGGTCAGGAGAATCTCCTTCACGTCGATTAACAATATGTGCTTGAAATTCCGCTTGACCCGGCCGAGTAGCATCGGGTAAACCGCCCACCGACGGAGACTCATCGGAACCGGGTCGAGGAAACCGGAGAGTGAATTCTCCGGGTCGAGTTCGTCGACGTCGAAACCGACCACCGACCCGTAACTCGGCCGGTTCGAGTCAACCGGTTCTCCGCTGTAGTTAAAGCTTCTTCTTCCCCAAATCGGTTCCTGAATTTCCTTCTCCTTTCTGTTCAATTTCATAAAATTGCCGACGTCGAAGGCGGCGGCGCCGGTGTTGTTAAATTCCTCGGCGTACCGATCCAGCAGCTTGAGAAACAAATCACTCTCGTGTAAAACGACGTCGTCGAAATCAAGTCGCCGAGCCGGGAAGACGAGGACGAGATCCGATCTGGCGGCGAGGCTGGACCGGAAAAAAAGCCGGAGAAAGAGCTTAAGCACGTGCGAGGTAACCGCCTCAGGCACGTGCGCCACAACGACGTCGTTCATAGCTTTGTTTCCGCGCCTATAAAGCGCTCCCATTTTCTGCAAGGCGTGTGAAAGATTGGAGGAGGTTTGTACAGTTTGGTGGTGGTGGAGGAGGAGACGGCGGCGAGAGGCGGCGCCGGCGGCGGAGGGGGCGGTGTTGGGGAGAGTGGTGAGGGTGAAAAGGAGGACGGTGAGGAAGAGGAGGAGCAAGCAAATGGAGATTGTGGATTGAGCTTTTCCGAGCAGAAGATTTGAGGATGATTGAAAGGTATTTGTGAAATTTGGGGATTTTTTTGGCGGAATTGATTGCTGCTGATGTTGTTGATGATGATGATGTTCTTCGGGGAAGAAGATGAGGAGGAATCCCATTCTTGTGAATTTCATCCTCAAATTTAGGCTCTCTTTCTCGCTCTATATCTCTATCTGCGTGTATCTATGTCTGTCTCTATATATACAGATGTATATATATGAGTTTGTATGTATAGGTTGGTTGTTCTTCTGGTTGTAGTGAGCTAAATGAATCTTTAATCAGTCTTTGGTAGCTTTTGTTGTCTTTTGCTACATGATTTAACTCTAATCCCCCCATCACTATTTTCAACTTTTAAAAAAATATTTTTTAAATATTTTTTTATATATTATTTTAAACAATTTTTAAATTATTAAATAAATAATAAAAATATAAATATACACAAAATATAAATATTACAAAAAAATAAAATAAACACACTATAAATGGCGTTGCTACAGTGCAACACAAAAAATGGTGTAAGAAATAGCTTTTAGTTGGAGAAGCTGATCTCCAAATACGGTGACGTTGCATTGGAGATGCTCTAAGGGTGTGTTTGTTTGGGGGATTGGATTTATACTATTCATCTAATTTTTTCTCCCAAAAATATCAAATCAAACATTTATTTTTTATTTTTTATATTATACTAAAAATTAATTTTACATTCAAAACATCACATCAACACCTATTTATATTATATTATACAATTATTCAAATTTAAAATTTTTACTATTTAAATCTCAACTCAAAATCCAAACCTCCAAACAAACACACCCTCAGAATAGTACCGGGTGTGTTTCTTTGGTTGAGTCTCTAAAAATTGGTATAAATTTAGTATTAAAATAATATTTGATGAAAAATATATTAAAATAATGTTTAATGAAATATTTTGTGAAAGAAAAATAAAATATAAATAATAAAATTTGTAAAAAATTAGGTAAAGAAACATACCCTCTTGTGTATTATGTTTATTCATTTTGTTATTTTAATTTGTCTAAAATCAATTTATTTTATTTTTTATGGTCTTCTCGTCATGACTTTTTTTTTTTTTTTGGGGCATATTTATTATTTTAAAGACTTTAACAAATATAATTAAATTTTACATTTTTTATATGTAAAAATCACTCAAAATCTATTTATTTTTATCTTCCTTCACAATTAACAAATATTTTTATTTATTTTTAAAACTTTTTTTTTTATAAAACTAATTTATGGTATGATAAATAAAAAAAAAATATTATTTATTTATTTATATTGTATAAAAGTTTATTATCTACAAAATATCGATATTTTATATATTTTATTGAGATATAATATTATAAATATTTAAACATATACTATATTTGAATATTAATTATTATGTAAAAACATAGTACACAAATGACAAAAATATTTGTATTAGTATTTTATAATACTATTGTAATGACATTTGTGCGAAAAATTATATCAATATACTAATATTTTAATATCAAATACAATAATATAAAAAATAAATGAAACATTTAGAGTAAAAAAGAGTATATTAAATTTTTTTTAATCATTAAATAACTAATTTCCACTATCTAAATAAATAATATATATTACCTAAATTTTACCCAAACAAAAGAGTTTATCTATCTCTTGACATAGAGAGTATATTTTTATACTCCCTCCGTCCCATTGAAAATGTGATATTTGTTTTTTTATATAGATTTTTAAATATTAGTATTATATTTAATTGTAGTAAAAAAAGACAAAATTCCTTATTAGTATGGTGTAATATAGAAGTAATGACATTTATGTAATATATTGTAAGTTGAAAGGGTATTTATTATGTTAGGTAAGTAGGTAGTACAATTACTAAATTATGAAATGATAACTTTGTTTTGGGACGAACGGAAATAGAAAATAGGACGGAGGGAGAATAACTTTTACAAATTGACTATTGAGAAAATATTTTTATATAAATATGATATCTAAATATTATTTAAAAGAATAAATTTATTATTGGACGGAAAAAAATCAAAAAAGGAACCATGCGATTTTTATTTTCGGTTTGTTGATTTGCTGTTTTTGTGTGTGTTCTATAATATTTCATTTTCTTTTTTATATGAAATAAAACACCGTTATTTTGTTGAGTTAGTTTCAATTTGTTGTTATTATTTTTAATATAGGAAATCTTATTTATTTTGTAAATTTCTCTTCTTTTTTTTTTTTTATGTATCGTTTTTATATTATTTTCAATATTTGTAATAAAATATTTATTGTTTAATTTTTGTACCAGACCCAACTAAATTATATTTGTCGAACATACAAAATATTATATTCGTAATAAAAAATATTATAGTATTTTAATTTTTATTCTAATAAAAAAATATTAAAGAAAAAAAAAATAGGCACTCTTAATTTGGTGTTAATTCTCTTAAGTAAATCCGTTTTGTCCTTTTCCGGCGAGACCGTCGGTCGGTGGGCCTGCCGGAGGCTACAATTTTATATTGGAAGATCCTGGACCAAAGATCCAGGTAAGATCTACGCCGTTCATTCGAATGGGAGCGATCTGGATATGTATTATAATGTCGGTCTAATGTACAAGCATTTAATGCGTGTGGAGATGTAAGTTGTACCTTGATTTTAGAGCTTGAGTGGAATTAATAAATAAATGTATTAATGTGTATGGCGTTTCCATAATAAATTGACACTTAATAAACAAATGTCTTAATTAATGTCAATTAAATACAAACAAATTATTATATTTCTAATTAATAATGAAATAAATAAGGACATTATTTTATTTTATTTTTCTCTTTGCCTTCATTATTTCTTGAATAGTTTTTTAATAATAGAATTTTGATGGTATATAATGTATATATATATAATTTTTATTTTTATTTTTATTTTTTATCTATAATGTTAATAAAATTATAATTAAAAGGGTAAAGAATAAAAATAAAATATGAAAATTAAGAAAAGTTGAATATGTTTGGGTTCGCACCGATCTAAAACTATTAGTATTATTTAATTATAATTTTTTTAATAAAAATATAATACTGTATCTTATTTAATAAAATATTATATTAAAATATACTAAAATAATTCAAATCAAGATCAAAATCAAACAAATTTTTAGAATACTTTTTATTTTAAATTGAAATTATTACTATTTATTTTGTATAATTTTTAATAAAAATATATTATTTTTCTCATAAAAATATCATATTAAAATACTATTTTAAAAAATTCAAATATATTAATTATTATATTAATATTTAATATAAATTAAAAAAAGAAGATAAAAATAAATTTATTATTCTCTTATAATACCAATAGAGTAACATTTATGTAGTAAATTATACAATGTAGAATATATTTAAATTAAATACAAAAACTAAATAGTACATTTATTATGGTACATAAATAGCATTTAATATATATATATTTTTTTAGAGAAATATTAATAATAAATAAAGTGAAAAAATGGGACGTCATTAATAAATAATATTCACTCCGTCCAATAATAAAATATTAATTTTTTTATTTTAGACCGTCATATAATAAAGTATCTATTTTTTTTAGTAATTGTATTATTTACTTTATATTACAAATACCCTTACAACTTACAGTATATTACACAAATATTATTATTTTTATATCACACGTACTAATAAGATTATTTTAGTTATTTCTATTTTATTCGTACTATATCTCAATATAATACTAATATTTCTAAAAATACGTGCTAAAAGCAAATGGATACTTGAGGAGTATAAAAAATTCCAAAATATTTGCACAAAAATCTTTACATCATTATTTGTGTAGTATGTATTGGGTGCTGTTTGGTGGCACGACAAAATGTACAAATTTCCTTAAGCAGATTGCGCCAGCCCAACAAAAGGATTTATATGTTCATTGCCAAGCTAAATTCGGCAATCCAAACACGACCTAACGATTGCACTCGATCTATAATCTATTATTACTCTGTGTCGGAGATCTATAGAAAATTTGGGATTTGTTTGTTTTGTAAAATAAATAAATAAAATATATCAAAAATAATATAATATGTATATTTATTATCTTTAAGACTAAATTGCACAAAAATTTATCTGTTGTTTTATGAAATTGCATCAAATCTCCTGTACTTCTAAAACCCCGTCAAACTCCTCGTGGTTTTATAAACTTTGCGTCTAATACCTTGGCGGTCATTATTTAACGGTATTTGACATAAATACGTCTAAACTATAAATAAATTTTAGTGTCTCAATTTCTAAACCTCTAAAATTATAAATATATTTATTTTTCCTTATATTTAGCCTTAAAAAATAATAAATATATTGAAAAATAATTATTTTTCTTAAGTTTTAAGAATTTATTTTTATTGTTTTTTAAAGCTAAATATAAAAAAATAAATATATTTGTAATTTTAGAGGTTTAGAAATTTAAATTATAAAATTTATTCGCAGTTTGAGCGCATTTAAGTGTTAAATAAGGACCTCCGAGGGGTTAGACGCAAGATTTATGAAATCATAAGAGAGTTTGACACAATTTTAAAAATATAAGGAATTTGACGCAATTTCGTGAAACAACGAATTAATTTTGTGCAATTTAACTTTATTTTTAATGAGTATTAATTACACAATTCTATAAGTCACATAAAAAACCAAAACATAGACAAAACAAACAAATCTAGTTTTGGTTACACGACAATAATTTTGAACTTTGACTAATTTTTTAAAATTAAATTAAATATATATTTTTCTCTTGTAAAATATCAATTAAATATTAGAATTTTATTATTTCCGAAATTTAAAAACTTCAATACCCTTCAAAAGTTAGCGCGTGTTTATTTATCTAATTAGCACATATAATCAAAACAAATAATGCATACTTTTAGATATAATACATACTTTTATATATAACAACATGTAATCGTGTTGTATAGAATCATGTAATGTGCAATTTTTTTATATTTATATTATGTTGTATAAATATATTTATTGTACTAGAATTAATAAAATAATATATTTTGTGAAAATATATTATGGGTGTGTTTGTTTGGGGCTTTGGATTTTAAGTTGGGATTTGAATACTAAAAATTTTGAATTTGAATAGTTGTATGATATGATATAAATAGATGTTGATGCGATGTTTTGAATGTAAAATTTATTTTTAGTATAATATAAAAAATAAAAAATAGGTGTTTGATTTGATGTTTTTGGAGGGAAAAAATGGGATGAATAGTGAAAATCTATTCCAATCCCCCAAACAAACACACCCTATGTGTAAGTTTTATGTAAAATTAATAAATTATATTATGCGCTATTAAATATGTATTATTTGCCATGATTATATATGTTTAAATAAAAATTTAAATTAGTATAATATTTTAAATTAATTTCAAATAAAAGCCAAACAAGCTCTAGAAATAGTACCTAGTGTATTTTATTAGGGCCCTTATTTTAAATCCAAAAAGCCCAGGCCCCATTCTGCAATAAATAATTTTGAAGCCCAATACTTAGGGCAAAATTAAGGCACAATCGCACAGCGCAATTTCAATCTTGTCCCAATTTTAATTCGACTCTAAAACCCTTCTTCATAAACCTCTCATCGGAATTTGGCGCCACCGTCGGCCGACCGATTCAACGTCGGCGAGATGGAGGAGTCCGCCACGGAAGCTTTAAACACCTTCGCTGCAGATTCGGATATATGCCAACAGCTTCTGACTCGTTACGCTCGCTCCTCCGCCGCGCAGCATCGCCACCTATGCGCCGCCGCGGGCGCCACTCGCTCCATGATTCAATCATCGTCTTTTCCGCTGACACCGATATCCTACTTTGCTGCCACCATCACTTCTCTCTCCAATTTCGAGAACCTCGACGCCGATGCTCTTGGTGCGCTGACCTCTTTGCTTTCGATCGTGCTTCCGTTGGTCGGTAAAGGCGAAATTAAGGCGGAGAAAGCGGGAGAGGCGGTTAGGGTTTTGGTGACGTCGGTGGAGGAGAATGGGGGTAGGTTGGGGACCTCTGGTGTTAGGGCCGTCGTGAAGTGTGTGGGCGTTTTGCTTGCGGAATTTTGCAATGTGAAGGAGTGGGACTCGATTTCTTTAGGTTTCGAGTGGCTTTTGAAATTTTCACTGGATAAGCGGCCAAAGGTTTGTTTTTTGATACTGTTCAGCACAAATCATGAAATTCTTTTCTACTTGGAATGCAGTTTAAGAATTTGCAAGCTTAACTGATCTAAGAATTCGTTATTTGCTTCTACAAGTTGTTCATCGATGTCTAGAACTGTTAAACCTTAAACTAGTCGAGCTAGTTGAGCATCTGTTTTGACGTCGAGGGTATTGGTACATGTTCTCGGCTCCTTCGGGATTCGAGCTAGCTCGGCTTGTTAGGCTCCAAGTCGAGCTCGAATTTCATATATATTATATATATTTTTAATGCATAAATTTCATTAATAAATGTAATTTTTGATATAAAAAATTGTAAATATTATATTAATCTATAAAATAATACAAATATATCATTACTAACAGCTCAATTGAATTGCCCGCGACTCGGCTTGCTTACAAAAGTAGTGAGTTTTGAGCTTGAGTTTGGCTCGTTTATGTCTATAAATGACTTAGTCAGTTTGGATCGTGAGCTATTTAGCTCGTTTAATAGCTCTAATCGTTTCGTAGTTTATTGTACTCTTTTGTCAGTGGAGTCTATCTGCCAACAGAATTTGATTCTTTAGGGTATAATGCATCTATTTAAGATTCACGCATCATTTGTTGTATCAATGATAATGTGATTATGTGAACTGATGTATTGAACAACAAACAGTAGCTGGATTAATCAGTTAGCTCTTACACAGTTACAAGGTGCATATTGGATTTAATGGTTTCAGGGTTAAAGATTTAAAGAACAGTATTTGTTCCTTTTATCAAGTATAAGATAGCATTAATGATCAGATCCCATATTCTTGTTTGTTTACTTCTTTCAGGTTAGGAAATGTGCTCTAGATTGTCTCTTGACAGTTTTCAAGTCTTTTGAATCGTCTGTGGTCTCAAAAGGGAGTAAAAGAATATATTCGTTATTTAAAGATCGCATCCCAGTGGCCTCAGAGATGGCCACCTTAGATGTTGTAGCCCGATCAAAAAATGAAACAATGCTAAAGCCTGAAGACCAGGAAGTTCTTCATATGTTGAATGTGGTGAAGCATGTTGTTCCGTATCTTTCTCCTAAAATTATCATGAAAATACTGCCTCCATTGTTGAAGATATTGAGCTCCAAGTTCTCGGTGATAACACGGCATATCTTTGATGTTATTTTGCCTATACTTGAAACTTCAGGCGCTGATATAGTAATCTCTAATGCTGAGAACATCTTTGCACCATTGGTTTCATACATATCTTTGAGGGAAAAGAATCCGCTTGACAGTGTATTGTTGGCTGCTACAATAGCCAAAATTGCTTTAGGTAAACTTCATGTTGGCGATTCAAGTGATTGGGTCACCTATTTTCCCAAGTTAATCGAGTCTCTTGCAGGTATCCTTTCTTTGTTCCTTTTTTTCCATTTTCTTTTGAACGCTCTTCATGCACGCAATAAGTGCATTTCTTTTCTAAGACATACATATATATTTCTACTGCTGCTTACATTTACTATTTCGGTTACCAAATTTTGAAACTGCTAGTTTCATCTGCCTGATTAAGCAAGCTAAATAGCATTAGAAGCAAATTAGTGGTTGTTGCATGAACCTCTTGTTTTTTACCAACACACGGATGGTGCTATTTTAGAAAAAAAAAAGTGCAGTTTTGACTAATGTTTTTAACCTAAAAGAAAGTGGAGTTGACAAATCAAAAGTGAATTTAAGCATGAAGCTTACTCTAGGAAAAGAACAAATCAAAAGTGAACTTAAGCAGTGAAGCTTACTCTAGGAAAGAGCTCTCTAAACTTTGCTCTCCTCCAACTGGAGGTCCTAGTTAATTCCATAAGTTTTGTCGGTGTGCAGGCTGATAGAGAATGATGTTTGTTTTCATTTAATTTTTTCTTGTCCTTTTATCTTGCCAGTGAAGTTCTCTTCATGCTGGAAACTTTTCTGAATTGCTATAATTTAAAGTTTCTGAATCTGCATTTCACTGATTGATGTATGTCTCCCCCCCCCCCCCCCCATCTTTTGTCTAGATGTTTTTCTGATCTCTTACATGTGCCATTCAGGTCTTCTGACCTGCAAGGGTGATGTTTCCTTACAGACTTCAACTATACTTAGAGAACTGATAGATCAACATGTTGATGTAAAAACTCTTTCCGACATTGAAAGCCAAGAAATGGACAAAAAGGTGATAAACGATGCAGTGTTCCAAGCAATAGAATCCACATGTGCCACATTCTACAGTTTGCTGTGTTCTTCGTCTCAAATTCAGGACGAGCACTTCTTTTCAGTAGTATCTTTTCTGTTACTGCAACTTGGTGAGTATCATGGATTGTTTCTCCTAGCCTTTGTTCTTTTCGCAATTATATTTTTATCTTTCTTTACTATTCATTCCCGATGCTTCCCACTAAAAAGACACTATCTCCTCTTCCAAAACATCACATACGATTTAAAGAAAAATACAAGCGCACACACACACACACAAACCAACCACACCCCTAATAATTACAAATTGAAAAACACTATAGTTTGTGTCCTGGTACTTTTTTTAAAAAAAAATTATTTAAATGATGGTAAAATAACACATAGTTTTTTCTATTAAATAATATTTTAAACTGAATAACTGATTATTTGATTGATTTTTGCATGTGTATACAGTTGTATGTAATAGTTGGAGTTCGTATAACAATGACGACTTCTGCAGTAATGATACTGATAGACTGAGTTTAAATATTAATGCATCCATGTGTTTGTGAGAGTTATAATACTAACCAATGGAAAATGTCTGAAAATTGCTGTATGTTTGGACTTTAGAGTTCTCTTTGTATTTATTCTTATCGTAAACCCTATATAGTGAATATTCAATTTCTTCCCCCAATAGAGGTTGAAATTATCATTTAATCAATTTTTTATTTTTAGGTGAGAAATCCGACATCTTTATGAAGAATTTACTCCTTAAGCTTGCTGATATGATGAATGCTACTCCTGCAAATGCTTCAAAAACTCAATATGTAAGGATTCACGGAGTTTCCCCCCTTATCTTTCTCAACCTCCCCCCTCCCCCCCATTATGTTAGTTTGGCCATTTTGGTTGTGATTTCATTTGTTCATCGTTGCAGCTTGAGGGCTGCATTGGATCTGCTGTTATTGCCATGGGGCCTGAGAAATTACTCCTGTTGGTTCCACTTTCCTTCAGAACCAAAAATTCTTCGTGCTCAAATGTTTGGTTAATACCCATTTTAAAGAAATATGTAGTTGGCTCATCACTGCAGTTTTTCATGAATCACATTGCACCTCTTGCTAAATCTTTTGAGAATGGGTCCCGTAAAGGTACATTTTTACTCTTTTGTCTGTGTATCTTATTTTTTTACATTTATGTGTCAGCGTAGTAATGCCTTATCACTTCTTCGAAAGGAAAAGTTGAACTTCTCCCAATTAAGACATTAGGAGATATGCGTTTTTTGTGTGGGGATTCCAATGACTTCGATTTCTATTTGTAGTTTACCATGATGAGTCTTGAATCTTGACTACATAAATTGAGAATGTTGATGATACTTAATGCTCCCTCCATCTATCAAACACACTCAGTTTATAAAAAGTTTCATCTCACCTCATTAACTCACTCATTCTCAAATACCTCGTTAAAACTCATGTCCAACTCAAACAAACATACACTTTGTGGACGGAATGAGTAGTATTCTTGTGAGACATGCTTGATAGTCTCCAGTCATATTGAGGAGGATGTTTTCCAACCCAGTTATCTTCAGTCTCTATGAATCATTGAATTAAGTATGTTTTTGAATCAGTTAGATTCAAAAAGTTTTTAGTCTCCATGTTACAGTTTTATGCAACTTTTTATCTGCCGCTGGAGTTTAAATCTGCATTCCTTTCCAGTTAAAAAATCAGTGATTGGGCAAGATCTGCAGGCTTATGCCCGTGCATGCTGGGGACTGTTTCCTGCCTTTTGTCGCAGACCAAATGATATTCATCATAGTTTTGAGGCCCTAGCCAAGTTATTAATACCTTTTATCAAAGAGAAGTCATTTATGCTTGAGGATATTGCTGTTGGTTTGCAGGTTTGCCTTTACATATTCTTGTATATTTTATCTGTTTCCGTAACATATTGGTTTGGATTTTGTTCATGAGTTGATGATTTCGCGTGTTGTATTTCTGACACAGGAGTTGGTAAACGGAAATAAAATTGCACATGCTTCTGGTCAGGGGTCTGAAGGCCTGATTGAGTCTCAAGGGGTTAGCAATCTTGCTGGGTGGGATATAGATGTCAAAGGAAGACATTTTTACACTAGGAAGACAGCAAAGAAAAATATTGAGGCTTTGGCTTTGTACGCTCCAGAGTTGCTTGAGGCTTTAACAGATGTCTTCTTTGAGAGCCCTCCAATGGAACGGGAACATATAAAGGTTTACCTAATTTATAAAACTCAATAGTTTCTCATCCACCCTCTAAATTTTGTCTCATTATTTGGCACCAGACAATGGCTAATTCTATGCTTATGTACTGGTTGATAATGGTGGAGTTCAGCATATGCCTTTTGATTTGCTTTCTGTGCCCATTGAATTTTCCGATGTTTCCCTTACCCTAAATAAATTTACTAGTGGGATGTGACAATTAATTTTATTGTTCGTGCGTAGGGTGCAATCAAATGCTTGGCTTCTATCAGCAATGTTTCAGTAACAAAACATTTATTTGTTGCTTCGCTTGAGAAATATCAGCTTCTTGCCAAGACTGGTGAACATGGAAAACCAGAGTTTGTTGCTGATGGTCCAGTCCAGGAAGAAGAGAACAGGTTAACAGATGAAAAGAGGTGCCCTTTTTATTTCTTTTGTTTAGTAAACTTTGTCTTCAATATGACATTTAGTCATATGCATCTACTTATTGATTTCAGGTGAATTTTGTTTGTGAATGGACTAACATCCTTCACATCTTATTACTGTATCGATTCACAATTTTTCTCACTATATTTGTGTGAAGGTGTCTGATCCTGGATTTTGCGTCCTGCATTGTTGAGGGAGCTGATGAGGATCTGGCCAATCTACTCTTTTCTCTTGTTAAGCATGCTTTGCAGGTTGTTGATACCCAAACTTTTTACTTTCAAATGTTTATATATTGATTATTCTATTACATCAGTCTGTTTTATTTTTTCTAAATAATAATAATTATTTTGTATTATTCTAGTCGAGCAATGAGGCTGTCCAGATCGAAGCATATCAAACCCTCAGCAGAATACTCGAGGTTTCTATTCAACTTAATGTAAAATTTGGATCTCATACATATATATGTTTTGATTCTATACTATTTCTGGCATTTCTGCAGAGTAATTCTTCGTTTTGCTCTTCTCAATTTAATGTGGTGATGGGTTTATTGGCCGGGATGACGTCTGCATCCAATTCAATGTTACTTAAAAGTCGATTTACTTGTTTGCAGCCCTTGTTGATTCATGCATTAAAGGTAGGCTTTGGTCTAAACATTAAACTTTTCGTAGTCCTTTGAATGAATTGTTATACTATGATGTGATAATTTTCTTAAGCAAAAGCAGTATTTCTTGGTTGGCTTGTTTGTTAACATCTTCATTCATTTTATGAGCTCATATGCTTCTTTACTCATTTTTTGTTTCTCTGTTTAATATTTAAATTGGTATTGGCTTTTCTGTGCTGCAGAAAAACAGTGATGAGGAGAATACAGAGACCTTCCTTATTCTGAATGAGATTATTCTTGCATTAAAAGATGTAAGAGCTACTTTCGGATATCTTATTCAATTCTTTCCAAAATTATTTAATCGTTATCTCTAGATTCAATTAAGCATACATATAATACAGTATATTTAATCTTTTCAGCATGTTGCTTTTGTAGCTATAAAATTTGGGTGTGTGATTGTGTTTTGGTGTTTTGTTTTGTGCTGGGAATAATAAAATTGTGAATTTAAATATCTGTTTGATGTGTTTTTTATAAAGAAAACATATATTTTATATGTAATGTTTTAAATTGAGAATATGTGTTCGATGTGAATTTTTTTGGGGGAAAAGTAAGTGTTTCATTTATTTTTTTATTTTTTAAGGAAAAAATGGGTTAGTGATGATTGTGTTGTGAAAACACAACCACACACTCACACTTGTGTCAGTGTTGCCCTGTTTTACATGGTTATATGAAGGATCTCAATAAGTGTTAATTCTAGTTTTTGTTCTTGGTTGTGTTTACTTGTTCTTCCTAATACCTAAGTTCTTTGAAGTTCAGTATGATGAAGAAGGCAGGAGACTTGCTTATGATGCATTGAATGGGATAAGTTCAAAGTTAAGGAACTCGTCAGATGTTTCTCAAGATGACTTGTATAAAAAACTTCTGGCCATGGTAAGACTACAATACTTTCCTATTTGTTTTTACCTACATAGTTAGGATAGAGTTAAATTATGATAGGATTATCGGAGTTTATTTGTTTGGATAATTATTGTATAGAATGCATGTAATCTCACTTGCGGTAATTTGAAGAATCCTATTCATATCTAACACTAACAATCACACAAAATGATCTGAACTTGCCTCATAAGTCATAAGGGTGAGCGAGTTGGTGTGGTATGGTAGCTTGTGATTATATGGTCACCGGCTAAACCTTGCCGACATTTTTTAGGTTGAGCCTGTCATACATGGCTTTCTTAGTTTGGCTTTCCTGGCTGGAGGATTATTGGCCAATTGAATTGCACACTCAAAGAGTAGTGACTGCATTCTCCTACATTGCGAAGAAACAAATTGCTCCAATAGAATGCCATATGCTTTCAGTCTGTCATATCTTAGGAGGCATATTGTTAGTTTTAACTGTATCATGTTGGGGAAATGACTTAGTTATTCTCATTTCCAGATTACAGGTTATCTCTCAGGTTCGTCTCCCCATATAAAGAGTGGGGTGGTATCTGCACTCTCAGTATTTGTTTACAACGACCCTGGTATCTGTTTATCGATGGCCGATGTAGTCCCAACAGTTATGGAGTTGTTGCACAGCAAAGCTATTGAGGTTATAAAGGTAAGTTTTCCTGCCTTCCATGTATTTCTCTGACTTAACATTCATTGTGTTGATACTATTTATGATCTGAATTTACCAGGCTGTTTTGGGCTTTGTGAAAGTTCTAGTTTCATGTCTAAAAGCAAGTGATCTGCAACATTTTCTTCCGGAAATAATGGATGGAGTTATACGTTGGTCATCTGTTTCTCGCCATCATTTCAAGGCCAAGGTCCGTGGGCTTTACTGTTGCTTTCATCTTCAGTTACAGTTTATGGACCAATTATCAATTTTGAGTTGTGATTAGAATTATTTAGCTTTTTGCTGACTCCTTGCAAATCCCTTCTGAATCCTATCACCATAGCCACAAATTATTTATTTATTTTATATATATATATATTTTATTGATGATGCCCATGCCCTGGAATCTCAGCTTAGTCCAGCATCTTTTTCCTTATCTATATTCTATTTGCAAATAACTATTTGGTGGTTTAGATAGGGTGTGATTGTTTGGAGGTTTAGAATTTGGATTGGGATTTGAATAGTAAAAAATTTGAATCGAAATAGTTGTATGACGTGATTTAAATAAGTATTGATGTGATGTTTTGAATATAAATTTAGTATAACATAAAAAGTGAAAAATAGGTATTTGATTTGATATTGTTGAGAGGAAAATTCTGTGTGAATAGTGGAAATCTTTCAAGATCCTCCAAACAAACACACCCTATATAGGATATAATGCCACTGCTTCAAATTTTTATAGGCACGTAATTAGAACGTTTATATGAGTCGAGCAATGTTACCGATGCTGGCTTGATTTGGCCGGTTAAGATTCAAGCTAAAATAGTGGCTCAAGCTTAACTCTTTAGGCTTGGGTTCATGCTCTCCCCAGGCTCAGTTTTTATATATATTATATATTTTTTAATGTATAAATTAAATATATTTTTTTTATTCTCAATTATACCATGACTAACGAGCTTGAGCTCTGCTCAATTATAGAAAGAATAATTTTCGAGTTCGAGTTTGACTCGTTTATCTTTATAAATGAGTCAAATCAAGCTGTTAATGAGCCAGGTCAACCTTGGTACTCATGCTACCGATTCGTTTAACAACTTTACACTAACCAAATACTGTGTAGTATATTAGGAATACTGTCTCATTCTACAATTGACTTTAGCTTTACGCCAATGGGAACTCATTCTCTTCCAAAGTTGTACGAACGATCTCATATTCTTTTCACTACAGGTGGTGGTGATCTTGGAGATAATGATCAGGAAGTGCGGCACGGCAGCCGTTAAGGCTCTTGCACCTGAGAAATACAAGGAATTCGTGCAGGGTGTTGTAGAGGTACTTCTCGTCTTTACCTAATTTTAGCTGTAGGACATTTGTTTCCGTGTTGCTAAATTTATGTTTTTGATGCGTACGTATTGCTGCAGAATCGTCATGGAAAGAATAGTAGTAAAGACAATGGAAGCAAAGACGATAAGCAACAAGCTTCCGGTACATCATCTACAAGGTGTGACTTCGATTCCTGCCCTCAACTTCTATATATTATTGGCAATAATTATTTATGTCAATTTTTTTTGAGTGGAAAATACCTATAGTTTAGGAGTTTGAAAAAAACCTCTATTTCTTACCATGAGGTTTAAACTCCCGACACTTTCAAGTCTTGTCTGCCATACATGGTTCGCCTAGTGTGACTTATTTATCGGCTTAATTTGGAGATTATTAAGTTCTACTTGGGATTTACTTCGAACTTTTCACCTCATAATAAAAATAATAATAATACTCCTTCAGTATAAATTATGTCAGTTTTCTTTTTTTGCTTATTTGCTAAGATAAACTCCCTCCGTAGCGTGTCCGGGTTACTGTAGATACCAGAATTTAAGATAAGTATAGTCAATGAATAATTAAAAATGTATTAGTAAAAATAATTATTCTATAGTATAAAATAATTATAGATTATAAGTAATTAGTCTAATTAAAATTAAAATAATTATAAAATTTAAAATGATATTATGTATGTAATCATTTTCTGTAAGTGACATGAGACGTAGGACATACATAAACAACAATGTGGAACAATGTGAAACGGTAGGTGGGACGGAGGGAGTAATTTATTTATAGTAAATTTTTATCATTTTAAAAAAAACAACAATCAACTTGCAGCTATTTCTTCACTATTTTTTTACTATTTTTATCATTTTAAAGAAAACAACAATCAACTTGCAGCTATTTCTTCACTATTTTTTTTTTTTTAACGTAACCCTTTAATAAATTTTTCATAATAATCTCACTTTATTTTTTGTCTACTTATCGAACAAAGTTTCATAATTATATCAGACAGAGGTAGTAGAATGTTGAAAAAAACATGTGAATAGTGCCTACAAGTGTAGAAATCGAAAATTAATAGAGAGTCATTTTACATATGATCAAGACTTTTAGATGAGTAACAAATCTAGTGAGCTGTATTTCAGGCATCCAAAGAGGAAAAGGGAAGAAGAATCTACCGTGGTCTCGTCCAAAGAAGACGGATATACTGAACCCGGGAAAAGGAAGAAATTCAGCAAACAAAATCCTGGGAAATTTATTCACAGAGGTGGGCGACAGTCGGAACATAAAAATCTGCAAAGGGACGAGTCTAGAAAACCTCAAGGTCGCGGATTCAAAAAAAATCTCCCCGACAAAAATAAACAAAAGGACAAGACAGCCTCCGGGAACAATAAGGGTAAATTCCGAAAACTGGGCGCTGAGGTGAAATTTTCTAAACAAAAAAAAGGGTAGGAAGATGATGGTATAGAAATCCGGGATGTAGACTACATTTTGGTGTCGATCTTGAGGACGCCGAGCATGTCTAGCCCAAAGCCCGACTGAGGAAGAGTTATGGGTTGAAAAAAAAAAAGAAAGGAAAAATGAGGATGGAGGAGATACATTTTAGCCATGGCAAGATTTTGGAACAATGGAAAGGTATGATATTTCATTTCCAGTTGAATACTTTTGCTAATTATGATAAATTTATGTTAAGGAAAATGAATTTTGATAGTAATTTATATATATATATATACATATGTATGTATATTTATTGTGATTCTTATTTCAGCATGTTTGGGCTTGTCCATCTTGTGGTGCAGTCCTTTTATGGTGTGTTTGCTCTAGGGTTTGGATTTTAAGTTTGAGTTTTGAGCAGTAAAAAAAATTAAATTTAATAGTTTTATGATGTAATATTTTGAATAAAAAATTGATTAGTAGTATATAAAAAAAAAAATAGAAAATAGATATTTAGTTTTACCTTTTTATTTATTGTATTGTTACCTATGCGACATTAATATACTAAAACTTCCGCGTAAAGGACAAAAAGAGGATTTTATTCTTTTTAATTCATAGTATTTTTTTCCTATTTTTGTTTGTCTATTCGAAATTAATATTTTAATTTTTATTTAAATAATAAATATTATATATATAATTATTTTATATATAAAGTTAAAAGGGTGAAATTGTCATTTCTTTAATATATTTTAATTATTATTTATTAATTTTTTATAAAAGTAAATAGGTCCTTTGGAGTGGTATCGATGAAATATTATTTTGTAAATCTTAAAAATTTCTCTCCTTTGATTGAATTTTGGTTCTGCGCTACTTGCCACATGTCAGCACAATATTTATATAGTAATTCTTTGGTTGTATTTGTTTTTTAAAATATTTTGATGAAATAATTTTTTTATACGAGGCAGAAAGAATTGTATATTTAATATAAAAATAATAAATATGTAAGAAATATTATTTTTTTTTAAGAAATCTTATTTGATTTTATATTTTTTATTACAATTTTTAACAAAAATATATTGTACTCTTTGGTTCTATATATTTTATAATATTTTTTATTTTAATATTATCCACAACTATCTTTCAATATCTTCAAAATATAAAATAAATTATACACTTAATACTGTCTATTTAATTTTTTTTTGTAAAAAACATAGATTGTGTTCTTGTGTAGTTTTACCATAACTTTTACTATTTAATTTAATTTTTTTTCCTCCAAAAATATCATATCAAACATTTATTTATTTATTTTAAATTATATTATAAATGCAAAATATTACATCGAACTTCTATTTTTATCCCATCAAATAATTTTCAAATTAATTTTTTACTATTCAAAAATTCAAACATAAAAACTAAAACCCACGTACTCTAAATAATTTATCATATATAGAACGGAAAAAGTAAATTTTTTTACAAAATATTTGAAATGATAAAAAATTATTATAATAATATTCTCAAAATATATATATTTTTTTATAATCAACAATTATATATATATATTATTTGTCTCAATTTAAAATACTTTTTTATCATTTTCGTCCGCTCCACTTTAAAGTATTTATTTATTTTTTTAGTCAAAATAATCATACACTACAACCAAAATACTCCTTAATTTTTATTTAAATTACAAATATACAAAATTGTTCTGGTGTGTTTATTTGTGAAATTTGGTTTTCGATTTTACTATTTTTAATTTTTTCTTTTCCTAAAAACATCAAATCAAATACTCATTTTTTATTTATTTTACTACATCAAAATTTAATTTTATATTCAAAATATCACATAAATACATATTTATGTTACATCAAATAATTATTTCAATTCAAAATTTTACTATTAAAAATTAAAACCCAAAATAAAAATGACAAGTAAAAGCTCAAATGTGGGAGCAATGAAGTTTATATTAAAACAATGAAGTTTATATACTAGTGGGTGTGTTTGTTTGGGGGATTGGATTGGATTTACCCTATTCATCCATTTTTTTCCTCAAAAACATCAAATCAAACACCTATTTTTTATTTTTTATATTATACTAAAAATCAATTTTACATTCAAAATATCACATCAATACTTATTTATATCACATCATACAACTATTCAAATTCAAAATTTTTACTATTCAAATTTCTACTCAAAATCCAAATCCCAAAACAAACACATCCTAAATATATGTATATATTTGGACGAGTTGAAAAAGTATTATTATTTAATGAAAAAATATATATAGGGTGTGTTTGTTTGGGGTTTTGGATTTTGAGTTGGGATTTGAATAGTAAAAATTTTGAATTTGAATAGTTGTATGATGTGATATAAATAGGGTTTGATGTGATATTTTGAATGTAAAATTGATTTTTAGTATAATATAAAAAATAAAAAATAGGTATTTGATTTGATGTTTTTGGGGAAAAAAAATTGGATGAATAGTGGAAATCCACCAAAATCCTTCAAACAAACACACCCATAATATTTGACGTAAGTGTGCGTGTGTGTTTGTTATTTGTTAAGGTCCGTAAGGAAAAGAGGATATGATAGTGATGAAGATGGATGGAGGCAACATTCCCTCACTGAGAACCAATGGTGGCCATGCCTGCTGCACCTCAATCACTCCTCGCTCCTCTTCCTCTTCCCCTTCCCAACGCCGCCGGACCGGTCACCGGACTCCGATTTCGCGCTCACCTCTGCTCAACCTCCATTGCAGCTTCTTCCACAGCTCCCATTCCTTCTCCTCGTCGCCGCAATTTCATCGTCTTTGCTGGCGGATTTCGAGCATTTGGCGTTCCAACTCGGTTGCTTCCCGCTCGAGTGTCTGGTTCCATTTCCAAGCTTCGCGTCGCGGCGGAAGAACAGCCTAGCTCCTCCTCCTCATCAGGTATCGCTATTGAGATTTAATTTTGAAATTTGCTGCGTGATTATTAATTGGAGTTGGAGTGGAGAGTTGGTTGAGTTAATCGAAATTTAGATGAGTATTTGAGAGAATTGCTTGCGTAGAGTTTAATTTTTGAAGTGGAAATTGAAATTTAAGTCGATTTTGGTGTTTGGAAGTTTGATTCTCTGTTAATTTACGGATGCTCGTCGTCGTCGTCTAATAGCTGTGAAATTATTATATCTATGGCTGTATTGAATTTGAAATTGAAGTCAGAGTCTTTAGATATGTATGATATTTTAATTTATTATTTTTTAAAATTTATATTTATTCTATGTTTCAGCTTCTAAACGATAATCAAAATATTTTTATAATTTTTTTACTATATTTTAATATAATAATTAATATTAAAAAATTAACACGCCCAAAATAAATAAGACAAAAGTAATATAATATTTTATTTATTTTATAATTATAATTTTATAACTATATGTATATTTTAATGAACATTCACAAACAAAGCGTCTGTAAAAAATTCGGTCCATGAGACTTTGTTAACAAAATAAGTGTGTTTATACTGTTTGGCTTGACTCAATAACGTTTCCAAACGAGCTATAACCGAATCCAATCGAGCTAAATTCACAAACTGATTGAGCCTATCTGTTTTACTAGTGGGATTTTGGTTTTGAATAATAAAATTTTGAATTGAAATAGTAGTTTGATGTGATATAAATATGTATTGATGTCAAGTTTTGAATGTAAAATTTAATTTAATGTTATATAATAAATAAAAAGTTGGTGTTTGATTTGATATTTTTGGGGAGAAAAAATTATTGGAATAGTAAAATGGAAAAACAAATGTCACAAATAAACGGCTAAAAACAAATCTCATCCATTTTGATGGTTTTTCAATCACTGCAAACTTTCTTGTTCGAATCAACTAAAGTTGCGCATGTTATAGGCTATTCGAAAAGGTCGAATGAATCGTGATTAAATTATCTTAGAAAGCAGTAGCATTGTTTGCTTGAATTTATGTATAAATCTCTAGAACTCTGTAAAATTACTAAATCCGTTGTCGATCTCTCTATTGCAGCCGAGGCCGTTGAGAATGTAGTGATTGTAGGATCAGGTCCTGCTGGATACACAGCAGCAACATACGCTGCTCGAGCCAACTTGAAGCCTGTAGTGTTCGAAGGATTCCAAATTGGCGGTGTGCCGGGAGGACAGCTGATGACCACAACTGAAGTCGAGAACTTTCCTGGATTTCCAGATGGTATTACAGGTCCAGACTTAATGGACAGGTTCTTGGATTTTTAGAGCTTCGTTTCTCGATTGATTGATCCTCTGTAACATTCTTCAGTTTCTTCCTAGACTGAATAATGCTGAACTTGTTTGTTTTCTTCATTAGGATGCGACAGCAGGCTGAGCGATGGGGAGCAGAATTACATCAAGAAGATGTGGAATTCATCGATGTGAAGAACAGCCCTTTTACAGTGAAAAGCAGCGAACGCCAGGTGATTTATAATTTTACGACCATTCCCCTTGTCCCGAAACTGTTGACATTCTGATGCCTGAATTATGTGGTTTGAATTTCCGATTGAGGTTTGATTGTTGATTTGATAGCTGATTCGTGTAAATGATCGTCCCATCTAAAATATTAAACTTCTAGGAAAATGCATCATTAATTACATATTATATAGTCTTCCAACGCGCATGCTCATGTGTAAGGTAGATTTATGCCAAATCTTGCATGTGGACTACTTTTAAGAGTAAGTTGGCAATGGGTCAATTCTTGTCGTGTTTGTGTCGGATTGAATATTTTAAATGGGTCAAATAATTCAACACTAATCCGATCTGTTTATTATCGTGTCGGGTTCGTGTTGACCCGTATACATACTTAAGTCAAAATCCTTGATTTAAATTCAATTATTTTTTGTCAATGTTTTTGTTAGTTTTTGTTGGTTAGTGTAATGTGTACAATAAATTATGCTGAATTATTTAAAATTGAATTTAGTTTAAATTAATGTGGGCTAATTATTAAATTATAATTATTTTACATATATAATAAATATATTAATTACTATTATTATATTATAATCGGGTTGTCGTGTCAGATTCGACTTGAGAGCCTCAATCTAACTCGACCCGTTTATTATTGTATTAGATTTGTGTCAAACCGTTTACATAATCGGGTTGAAATCCTTGACCCAAACTCAATTATTTCGTGTCGGGTTCGTATCGGATTGTTGTATCGTATCAATTTTTGCCGGCTCTAATTAAGAGTGGTTGCTACTATATACATGTCAACAACTACGTAATCATATATCCAGGTATGTAGAGTCACACAGTCTAATGTATAACACGATAAACGTGTGCTCGTAATTCACACATTCAAGTTGCTAGTGTGCATTGCAGCATCGGTGACATTCTTCGATATTAGCTTCGATACATTGCTCTTGTGATTATCGATACAAAAATAATCTAATAATTCAGAATCCAGACCTTTGTAGTGTTTACATTTTTCATATTGATTGCAGTCTATGTTTAGGAGACAAGTGATACCTCTATATTAGATATCCAAGATTTTTAGTTAAAACAGGTCTCTGGCCTGAAACCTACCTCTCGATGTAATTTCAGGTGAAATGTAACAGCATTATCTATGCAACCGGAGCCACGGCAAAGAGGCTGTATTTACCTCGAGAAGATGAATTTTGGAGTCGAGGAATAAGTGCTTGCGCAATTTGTGATGGAGCATCGCCATTGTATAAAGGTCAAGACCTTGCTGTGATTGGGGGAGGTGATACAGCCACAGAGGAAGCTCTGTACCTGACTAAATACGCGCGCCATGTCCATTTGCTCATCCGAAAGGACCAATTAAGGGCATCGAAAGCAATGCAAGATAGGTCAGTCATTATAAATATGTACGTATTTTTAAGATTGAAATAAAGAGTTTTAGTTTTATATTCTAAGATGGGATCAGAGCTAAATTCTGTTCGGGTACCTCAATGACCCCTTATATCCCGTATATATTTTTATATTTTATTGATATATTTGCTTTTATCCACGATCATGCTGTCATTTTCATGTTGTCTCCGTTTCTACTACTTCGATCTCCATAGACAGAATTCTACTTTCAACTCTAACGCCGTTGAGAGTCATATTTCCGACTCTAGCTCTGTTGTGAGCGAGCGAGTCCTGTTTCCGACTCCAGCTTTATTAAGATTGAGCGAGTCCTGTTTTCGACTCTAATTCCGTTGTGAACGAGCGAGTCCTTTTTCCAATTCTAACAGTGTTGAGTTCTGACTCTGATTATAATCCAGTGGACGGCTACACCACTTTCAGTCAATGACAAATTTAAGTTCGTTCGTGGAAGATTTCAGCCATATTTTTTTCGGTCACTCCTGGCAAATTCAAGTTTGTTCGATCATATCTTGAGCTTGAAGATAGGTGTTAAATTATATTTAGAAAATATATATTCTTGCATTATTTAAATAATTTGTACGTCATTATAAATAGGTACGAATTCTTATGATTAAAATAGAGAATTTCAGTTTCATATTCTAACACTAATGACGATGTTTTTTAAGTTTCAACTCCCTGAATGTTTGTTAAAGTTTCATATTCTAACACTAATGACGATGTTTTTTAAGTTTCAACTCCCTGAATGTTTGTTAACAGGTTACTTATGGCGAATGTTTCAGAGTATTTGGGAATCCAAACATTACGGTCCACTTCAACACTGAGGCTAAGGATGTTGTCAGCAACACGAAAGGCCAGCTGTCCGGAGTGTTGGTTCGAAAGGTTGATAATGGCGAGGAGTCTGTTTTAGACGTGAAAGGCTTGTTTTATGGAATAGGTCATTCGCCGAATAGCCAGTTGCTCGAGGGCCAGGTTGATCTTGATTCTGCAGGCTACATTTTGGTTCTCGAAGGCTCTGCTAAAACTTCGGTTGAGGGAGTTTTTGCTGCCGGAGATGTACAGGTAAAACATGGCATGGGAGTATTTGTTTTCTTTGTCGTCATCTTCATATTATCTCACTCATATCGAAACTTTTAAGTTATCAATCCATGGAATTAGAGCTAGCAATAAGTCGATTCTTGTTGGTTCGTCTCGAGTTGAATACATTTAACGGGTTAAATCACTCAACTCTAACCTGAACCGTTTATTATCGTGTTGGGTTCAAATTGACTCGTTTATTTTCGTGTTAAATTCGTATTGACCCGTATACATAATTGAGTCAAAATCCTTTATCCAAATCCAATTTTTTGGTCGAATTGTCGTATTATGTTAATTTGTTTTTGATTCAAGTGTTATGTGTACAGTGAATTATGTTGAATTATTTAAGATTGAACTTAGTTATGTATTAATGTGTAGGCTAAATTATCAAATTATAATTATTTTATATATATAAGAAATAGTATATTAATTAATATTGATATATTATAACTGGATTGTCGTATCGGATTCGAGGTGAGGGTTTCAATCTTAACCCGACCCGTTTATTATCGCGTCCAATTCTTGTCCAACCCGTATACATAATTGGATCAAAATTTTTGATCCAAATTCAATTATTTCGTGTCAGGTTGTCGTATAGTGTCAATTTTTACTAGCTCTACATTCGGTAGATTTTCTCACACAAGGCATTCTTGAAAAATATACCGTTGTTGTTCCTGTCAATGGTTTTGCCTTCAACTTGGTAACTAATAACTTAATGTATGCCATTAATCTTAGTATTTGATGTAATATTTTTTTTAAAAATTACTACCGTAAATGAATAGTACCAAAAGTTCATGAAGGTTCGATTTGTTTTCGCTGACTGTCATCCCAATGTGTAATACATTATCAAATACAGATTAAAGTTTTTCATGGAAGCACATTTTCGATGTTTCCTGTTTCCGAGTTCCATGATTATTTTCTTTTTCCAGGATCACGAATGGAGGCAAGCCGTAACCGCAGCTGGATCAGGTTGCATTGCAGCTCTCTCAGTCGAAAGATACCTTGCTAGCAAAAACTTACTCATCGAATTCCACCAGGCAATCGATCTTTTTTAAATGCACTCTTACCTTTACAAACTTTGTATTAAAATACATAACTCGTTATATTTTTTTCGCGCCATACAGCCTGCTGTTGAAGAGGCTAAGAAAGAACTTACTGAAAGAGATGTAGAAGAAGGTTTCGATATCACAATGACAAAGCACCGGGGTCAGGTGTGACTTCCTCGATAGGAACTTACGTGATTGTTAACTTAACATTTTATGTTCTTTTTATTCGCTAAATGATTTTCCGTTGCAGTATGCTCTTCGGAAGCTATATCATGAGAGTCCGAGGCTCCTATGTGTTCTATATACGTCACCAACATGCGGTCCTTGTAGAACCTTGAAACCGATTCTTAGTAAGGTAAACATCCAACTCCATGGAAACACTTAGTTCTTAATCGATTATGTTGTACGTTGCAAGTTTTATTTCGTGGTTTACTCTGAATAATCTCGATTTATTGTTAATTTGGATATCGACGATACAACAATAATCGTTTAGCTTAAAGAATTTGTGAGAACGAGACAAGAAAACATGGATATGAAAATTGTGAATGAAAAAGCTTTGTCTGTTGGGGGATGGTTAAGGTGTCGTGTTTATTAGTCCTAATCAGTACATAAAAATAAAAAAGACAGTGTTAATTGAAACTATATAGTGACAATTTACACTTTATTGTGCTTTATGAATATATCTAATTGTTGAAATCAATAATAGAACGAACTCTATAAACTATTGTCATGTGTTGTCAGTTCATATGTTGCATTTGTAATATACTTCCTCAATCCGGTAAATTAGAACATTTGGATCCGGCATGGAGATTAAGAAAAATAAATATTTTATTAAAAAAATGATAAAAATAAAAAGGCAGTCTAGGGTAAAGAAAACGAGGAGAAGTGATGTAATAAAGGTAGTTATATTTGTTGTAAATAAGTGTTGAATTGAAGATAACAGTTAAAGAATTGGCCTAATCATGTGTTGTTAATTTATATTTTGTGTTGGGCTATATATATATATATATTTGGCGTGCTTACCGTAGCCGTTATATGTTGGCTTGGATTTGTTACTATTATGCTTTCGCCACCAAGATCTCCATTAACGACAGAACTCATTTTATGAACTTGTCTTGTAGGTAATAGATGAATACAATCAGAATGTTCATTTAGTCGAGATAGACATTGAGGAGGATCCTGAGATTGCCGAGGCTGCCGGTATTATGGGCACGCCTTGTGTACAGTTTTTCAAGAACAAGGAACTGATCAGGTAAAATAAAAAATCGTAACATTTCTTAACACTAAATTGTTTATAACCATCATTGGTTTGAAAAGTCCGCACAACTCTCCTTCATAATTTAGAAATGGAGGCTTCTCGTGTTTTAAAAAATATTGCATAAAATCTTTTAAAAATTACATAACGTATCGAGACAAATTAATCTAAGAAAAAAGAAATTTTTGTGCAATGTAATAAAAAGTTCGAGGGTTCTTGCAGTTTTTAAATCATGAGGGAGAATGATGTAGATTTTCTTTAACAAAATTTGATTCTGATTGATCCAAATTATGTAGTACTGTGTCCGGAGTAAAAATGAAGAACGAGTACAGACAATTCATCGAGGAAAACAAATAAGAAAGCGTCGAAAATCCGGGCTATCTTCTTCTCCATTCCTTCATCTTCTCAGGTGCCTCTTAGCAATTCATTTATTATTATTATTATTATTACAATATGAATTCTGCTTCCAGATTACTCATAGTTTTTTGGCATACTGGTTTTTCAATCTTCACTTTTGGGATTTAATTTCTCAATTATTTGATTTATTTTGAATTTGTCCAATACAATGCATGTGCAAAGTTATAAGTAATTATTGTTAGGATTTATTTAATTTAGGTTGATTTTGTTTGATGGATCTATCTGTCAAAAATATCTTATAAATATCTCCCAACAAATGCATATCTGAAAATATCTGTGGTTGGTAATATATTAGTAATATCATGTTTAGGAAACTGTCTACTTATTTAAATCCCTAAATCTTACTTTCTGTTACTACTTCAATAAAATACAACTCTAGATAAGGATTCTATCTATGCATGTGTTGTTTTATTCCTATTATTATTATTATTTTTATTTTTATTATTACTCTCTCCGTCCATAATTAAATATTCATTTTTTTTTTCACTTTAATATGTATAATATAAAAGGTAATGACATTTGTGTAAAATATATTATAAGTTATAAGAGTATTTGTAATGTTAGGTAGATAGTACAACTACTAAAAAAAATGGATATTTTGTTATAGGACGGACTAAAATGAAATGATACATACATTGTTATGGAACGGATGGAGTATTATTATTATTCACTTTGTCTTACATAAAATGTCCATTTTTTTATTTTAGTCAATGTCATGTAATTTATCATTTGTATACACTTTAATCACATTTCTAATTTTATAATTTATAGTTTTTTTTAATTTTAATTAAATTATTTTATCATTTTAATCTTAATATATATATAATTATTTTATTATACTATAATTATTTTTACTATTATATTTATTAATTACTTATCAATTATTTTATTTTTTTAAATTCTCATGTCTATATTAAAATTTATGGAACGGAAGGAATACTTTGTATAAATGTACTTTTTAGTCCTTATGTATCACTTTTTATATTTTAGTCTCTAGAAATATTTTATATTTAGACAGAAATTTTATCATGTGTGTTGATATGACAATGTGAACTAGGGGTGTCAATTCGTGTTTTTGGGTCGTGTTCGTGTCGGGTTGAGCCATGAGGATAACCAAAAAACTGTCAATCCGAACCCGAAATCTGACCTGAAATCCTAGACCCGAACACGACACGAATTCTTTCAGGTCGGGTTCAGGTTGACCTGAAAACCTGAATTAGTTTCAGGTCACCCGAAATCCGAACAAACCCGATACGAACTGGACCCGAAACAGACCCGAAAATTTAAAAAAAATTAAATTGACCTAAAAAATATCATTTTTATTTTAATTTTTATATTATTTTATATTTAAAATAATATAAATATTATAAATTAAAATAATAATAATAAAAATTTCAGATCAACCCGAATTACGAAACCCAAAACCTAATCTTATTTTGATATTTCAGGTCAACCCGAAATACGATCCGAACACGACACGAATTTTTTTTATTTCAGGTTCGGATCGACCTGATTTTTTTCAAACCCGAAATACCCAAACCCAAACCTGAAAAATTTTAGGTGGAACGGATTCGATTTTTCGGGTCAGGTTTACTTTTGACACCCCTAATGTAAACCACCCATGTAGCAATATTTAGTACTAAATATTGATGTAAATTTATTTTTTTTTTAAAATAAATATAAATATCAATATATATTGGAAAATTAAATGTATATGCCAAGTATTTGGTACTTCCTTCCTTCGTTTCATAAATATAGTTTTAATTGGGTTAAGCACGATATTTAAAAAATATTAATATTATATTGGTAGTTGATAAAAAAATATTAATAAATTTTTTTTTGTCCTTGTGAGTATATTAGTGTAAAAAGTAGTGATAATTGTGTAATAAAAAAAAATAATGGTAATTTTATAGTGATATAGTTATTTATGTAAATAAGACTATTATCTTGTAACGGATAAAAATAATAAATAAGACTATTGTATTTAGACGGAGAGAATATTAAAAATTGTGGTATAAATAACCCTAACCCATATCAACTCCGGGAGTGTCATGTCACTGTCACAATATTTTGGTACTCATTTTTTATTTCTAACATATTTTAGTTAAAGGATCGAAATGATAAATAGTTGTGACTTGTTAAAAAATTTGGGAAAAAATAATAAAATTGTCTTATTGATCATTAAAACAAGGGTCAATACAAAATATACTTGATAGATTCAAATTTAAATAATATAATTTATAAATAAGACTAAATCTAAATATAAATCAAACACCTATTTTTATTTTTATTTTTATATTATACTATAAATTAATTTTTCATTCAAAATATCACATCAACACCTATTTATATTACATCATACTATTATTACAATTCAAACTTTTACTATTCAAATCCCAACTCAAAATTTAAACCTCCGAACAAAGAGGGGAGATTGGATTTTAAATCCACTATTCATCCTATTTTTTTCTTTCAAAAACATCAAATCAAACACCTATTTTTTATTTTTTTATATTATACTAAAAATCAATTTTATACTCAAAACATCACATCAATACCTATTTATATCGCATCATACAACTATTCAAATTCAAAATTTTTAATATTCAAATCCCAACTCAAAATCCAAACTCCCAAATAAACACACTTTAAATCTAAAATTAAATATCTAAAATATCTCAACATGACTAAATAAATATTTATTTTTTTTGTTTCTAGCTCATTGATTCACAGGCACTTTTGTCTCATATCATTGCTTGGTGAGCTTGACTACACATGTATGCATGTATATATATATGTATGTATGTATAGTTGAGTTTCCTCCTAGTCGACGATGATTCGATGCTAGAAGTATATTGACTTATGCCCTATAATAGATAATATTCTTTACTTGTTTTATTTATTAATGAGTACTAACTGAGTGAGATTTTACGTTTGATTTGTTTCAATTAGCAAATATTTAGTAAAAAAATATAAAATATTGATGTAATATATAATATTCTTTTTGTCATAATATAATAATTTTATTTATCATTTTTGTCCGTTTTAAAATAATAGTTTCATTTTCATAAATAACCACTACTTTTTCATTATTATTACACAATTACCACTACTTTTTACACTAATATACTCACAAGGGCAAAAAGTCATTTATCCTTATTTATTACCGAGTACCAATATAATATCAATATTCCTTAAATTCTGTGTCCAACACAATAAAGACTATATTTTTGGGACGAATGGAGTAGTATATATTTGAATTAACACATTATATAATTATATATAGTAAAATATATCCTGAGTTTAGCAAAAATATATTTTGATTTCATACTTTTAGCAGTAGTAATTTGATAGAATTAGCAAATATCTATCAAAAAAGTAGAAAATATTAATATAATATATAATATATTATATAATACAACATATGATATCTGCTTTATGACTATTGATAATTGTCTAAAGTTAATATGTTAACTTAATAATATATTATTTTTCGTGTAGTATTTTGTTAATTACTTCATGTTATTTTACTGATTTGATCAAATTATCATGGTGCTGACCAAATTAGCACCCCAACCGTCGCCTTTAACAAGAGAGTTAGGGTGTGCAAATTATAAAAATCGATCAATTTTCGAATCAATCAATCTCCAAATCATTCCATATTCAAATTGGTAGTTTTCATATCGGTCGATAAAACTATAGTAATTTATTTTATTTTGATTTTAAAATTAAGTTTTTTTTATTTATGTTTTAGTTTAAATAATACTTAATATAAATATTTTCAAAAAATAATAATATATTTCTATTAAAAATTATATATAGTAAATAATAGTATTAATTTGTATTTAAACATAAAAAACATACAAGCCCACGAGTAAAACCAAACATTAATTTCCAAAAATAAAATAAAAGACTATTCAATATATATATTCAATAAAATTAATCTATTTAAGAAATCAAATCCTGAGCAAGAAAATACTGAGCTCGGGACCTCCAGTCCCGTCCGGATTAAGCATATAAAAGGCCTCGCAGTCCCGGTTCCCCACGACCCGTTCGAACCTGGCCCTCATGTACAGCAGCTCCCCCTCCTCCGCCGCCGCCGCCCCACTTTTCCGGCCGTCGTCCACCACCGGAATCACCCCCGCCCCCACCGTTACCCGCCGCACCGTGCTCAGCACGTGCCAGTCCGATTCCGTACACCCCCTCGTCACCGCCTTCCCGCACTTCCTCCCGTTGCAGTACATCGTCCACGTCGGCTCCCGGAAAAGCCTCCCGCCGCCGCCGCGCCGCCGCTCCGCCGCCGCCGGCTTCTCGCACTCGAGGGCGATTCTCACCATCGCCGACGACATTTCCCTGACCAGCGCCGACGTCGACACCGCCAGCTCCACCACCATGACCGGCGCCGCCGCCGGATCCTCCTGCACGGCGAAGCTGACGTGGCCGCGGCGGCGGCCGAACAGAGTTCCGGTGACTTTCCGGCCTAGCGACGGCGCGGCGGCGAGGCGGCGGCCCCCCGCCGGAAAGCTGAGGGCCCACTTGCAGTGTGGCAGAATTATTGAAGGGAAAGTGAAGATCGAAAATAGTGACCGGAGGAAGGCGGAGATTCCCCTCCGGTCGGCGGCGCGGCGCAGCTGTACGGATTCCGGCGGATGTTGAGATGACGAATTTGACCTCGTGTAGTAGGCCGGGATTATTTGGGTTGTACTTTTGGAGCTGCTTGTTCTTGTTAGAGGGCTAGGGGCAATTCGGTCATATTGCATCATGGCTGTATCTACTTTTTTGGATGTAGTAACAAAATTAGACTATTGTGGGATCAAAATGAAATCTTTAATTAAGAAAGTGTCTTAACATATGACATATATATAATATGACAAGGAATATATATATCAAGAAAGTTATATTTTCGAGAGGGGTGGGGTGGGGGTAGGGTAGGGGGGATGGAAGTAGTAATGGAAAGAGATATGGCTCATCATGTATTTATAACACAAAAATTATTATTATTATTATTATTATTATTAATTACGCATTTGAAAGGAGCTTTGGGTTGTCTAGCTAAGCCACTATCAATCTTACACGTGCATCTCATGCGTTTTCTCTTCTAATTAAGGATGCATTTGTTTGGGGATTGAATTTTAAATACACTATTTATCTTTTTTTTAAAAAAAAATATCAAATCAAATATCTATTTTTTATTTTTTATATTATACTAAAAATCAATTTTACATTTAAAATATAAAATCAACACCTATTTATATCACATCATACAACTATTCAAATTCAAAATTTTTACTATTAAAATCTCAACTCAAAATCCAAACCCCAAAACAAACACACTCCAAATATATTGCATTATTAATTACTCACATAAACGTTCATTTTTTTTTTTAATTTTTGTCTCAGATAATTTGTGATTTTTTTAAAATATAATTATAAATTTTAATTATATTTTAAATTTTATAATTTATATAAAAAAAACACTCATATATTATTAAACTATTTAGTTATTTTAATATTAATTTATAATTATTTTTATTATAAATAATTATTTTTACTAATATAATTTTTAATTACTTATCAATTACATAATTATAGTGTTTCACAAATTTTTTTTAGACAGAAGGAGTACTTTTTTATTTTTTTTAGGAAATCAAGTTAATTTCCTCCCTCCGTCCCGGTGAAAGAGTGGCGTTTGCTTTTTGCACGTAAATTTTTTAATATTAGAATTATATTGAATTATAGTAAAAAATACAAAAATACCTCTATTAGTATATAGTGTAATATAAAAGTAATGATATTTGTGTAATATATTGTAAATTAGAAGAGTATTTATTATGTTAGGTAAGTAGTACAATTACTAAATTAGAAAATGGTAACTTTGTTTTGGGACAGACGAAAATAAAAAATGAGAACCTTTTAATGGGACGGAGGGAGTACTTCTTTCTATTTGACCACATAACTAATTATTTTGTAAATAAAATTTATAATGACATTTGCTCATAATAACAAATTAATCACTTACTAATCGTGTTTCATTCATCCATAATATATATTTTACTGTTTTACGATCGATTAAAAAATAATTAATTTTCAATTTTTTTTTTAATATGGTGTTTCGTGAATATATATATATATATATATAATCGAGAATTCATATTATAAAATATTGAAATAATTGAAATAAAAATTCAAGTGAGCAGGGGCAAAGATACATTTGCTTGCTTGGAAATCATTCAAAATTGTTACATTAATTTTTCACTAAAGTTCATTAATCTAAAGCTATAATTAAGAAAATGTAAATGGATTAAAAATTTTGGTCAAATAAAAATAAAAATTAATATTTACTTCATTAAATTTCTCGACCAAATAAATACGAGTTGAGCTCAAGTATATATTTTTCAACTTTTTAACATTTCTAATAATGTGTTTAGTTATACTCCCTCCATCCACTTACGATGTATACATATTTCTATTTTTGGATGTCCAATTACAAAGTTAACATTTTATTAAATACCCTATTTATTTCTACAAATACTCTTACTTTACATCACATCATTACTTTTACACAAAAAAAAAAATAAAGGCAAAAATGTTATTACACTACTTTTAACTACTCACTATAATCAAAATACTATTATTTCTTAAACACCGCGGGGGTGTTTGGCAAATAGCTTTTTGAAGAGCTTTTAGCTTATTGAACAGCTTTTAGCTGTTTGACCAGTCAAAAAGCTAATTTAGGTGTTTAGTAAATTAGCTTTTTGGAATAGTTTTTTGGACCCAAAAAGCTAATTTTGGGAAAGCTAACTTACCCTGCGTTTTGAAATAGTTTTTTCTGTAAATTTTTTTTATTCCTTATATGCCTTTAAAAATTTATTATACATTTTAAACAAATAAATATATTTTGATTATTTATTAATTATATTAGAATATTTTATTATATTATAGTTTTACTTTTATAAATTTAAAATAATTAATTTTTATATAAAAATTATTTTAATTGTAAAATATATAAATTTATTAAAATCAACATAAAATAAAAAATATAAATATTAATAATTTATTTTTTATTAAAATTACATTATATAAATTTTATACTAAAAATAAATTAATAAATTAAATTTATTAAAAATTATAAATATAATGAACTAATCGATAACTAACATCATAAATATATACACGAAAAATTTATTATTTTATATTTTACATTATTTTCAATAAAAAAAAAAACTATTTATATATTTTAATAAAAATATATTATTTTTTAAATATAACTGTAATAAAAATAAATACTTTTATAACACTTTTATAATTTTCAATAATTAATAACAAACAATTTTAAACATTCTAAACTCAAAAGAACATAATTGAATATGTTAAAAACAAAAATAAAATAGAAATGTCCTCAATTGTCATTTTACGTATAAACAGCTAATATCAAACAATTGTTTTATCAAACATTTTAATACAAACAGCTAATTGAATCAGCTAGTCAAACCAGCTAATTGAATCAGCTAACAGCTAATTGAATCAACTAACAGCTATCAGCTAATTGAATTACTTAAACAAACACGTCTCGCGTCAAAAGTAAATGTAAACATTGTAAGTGAACGGAGGGAGTATTAATTATAGATACATACAATGTATGTTGGAAATATGTGTGTATATATATATATATGAAAGATCAACTTGCATTTTTTAGATTAAATTAATACTCCCTCCGTCCCATATCTATATATTCATTTGCTTTTTGCACGGAGTTTTAGAAATATTAATATTATATTAGAATTAAGTAGAAATAAAGATAAAAAGACTAAATTAACCCTATTAGTATTGTATAATATAAAAGTAATGACATTTGTGTAATATATTGTTAATTGGAATGATATTTGTAATATTAGGTAGATAATACAATTACTAAAAAAAAATGAAATAGATACTTTATTATGGAAGAGACCAAAATGAAAAAATGGATAAATTGTTAACGGGCTGAGGGAGTATATGCTTAGTTAATTCAAAATATGACTATTGAAGATATGCTTAGGACCACAAATCCAAAATCATGAAATTACTTAATTAATTTATTACATTTGATTATATAATTATATTGGTGATATTTAATCATAACTATAATCCTAGTACTAATTACTTTACCAATAAAACTCAACCTAGTATTTCAAAAATAAAATAAAATAAAATAATTTATGAGTGATAAGAAAATGTATTCCTTTAAATATTTCTATATATACATATATTTTATTGTGATTATTATATTACAATAAAAACCTAGAATTAGCATGAATTTGAAGATAGAATGGACCACTTGAGTACTAATTCAAATATTTGTGACATTTTTATATACAAAGAAAATGGCATACTTATGGTTAAATGGACACGGTTCAATTATCTGTAAATATGCAGATATTTTGTATCTGCATTGAATCGAATAAATATTCAAAATTGCGAATCGTATTTAAATCGAATCAAAATTAGAAAAATATTTTAAAAACCTAAATAAATAAAATATTTCAAATCTAACCGAACCAAAATCAAATATAAAAATTAAACTATAATAATATAAATATATCAAATATCAAATCAAATTTTTTATATTATATTTAAAAAATATTACACTAAATATAAAATATAATTATTAATATAAAACAAATATTTCAAGGATTTTGGTGTGGATTTTATTGTTCATTATTTTTTTTAAAAAAATATATATATCAAATCAAACATATTCTTATATAATATTGAAATTCGATTTTAAATTCAAAATATCACATCAATACCTATTTACATAACATCAATATCTTGTATTTCTTGTGTTTGGGTTATTTCTAAGTTGTGTTGCGGGTTTTAGGGCCAGCATTGTAAGTAGTCGTGATTTTGAGTTTGTTGGTGTCGATTTTTTATTTTTTGGGTGATTTCAAGGCTGAGCCTAAAATCAAATCCCAATTTAAAATTTTTACCATATTTCGTTAATTTTTGGTTAATAAAATATTTGATCCTTGGGTTTATTTCATTACAAATTTATATATATATATATATTTAATCATTCATAAAATTAAATTTTATAAATATTTAATATATGTAACTAAATTAGTATGTTATGTATATTTATTTATCTTCAAATTCTAATATTGTTCAAGAGAGATTTATATTTGTAAGTTGTATTTTATATATAATGTATACAATATAACCTTTCCATATTATAAAGAATTAATTAGAAAGTTGAATATTTAAATTATTGGAAAATCAAACTTATCGCCTAACTATTTATTCATTGTAGTCATTTCTTTTTATTTATATTCCTTTTATCAATCTTTAAATTTATAAAGAGTAACAAAAATAAAATGCAAAAATTTAAACCCAACACACAGAAAGTTTTTACGTGGAAAACTCCTTCAAAATGAAGGATAAAAACCACGGTGTCTACCCGACACAGGGAAATAATTCATTAATAAAAAAATAATTTACAATCGACAATCAGCCAAATACGATCGCTATCTTTAAATAAAATTACAATTAAACTAATTAAAATGCGGAAATATCCTTCGCTCTCCGACCCGAAATTACGATCTTCGACTCTGCTTTTCCCTGTCTCAAACATATGCATATAAATAAATAAATAAATAAATAAACCACATTTAAATGATCATTATAAATAGTCTTAAATACTAAAATTAAATTAAGTTCCATAAAACATAATATAGCATATTAATTATCCGATAACACCATTGTCCAAATATGTAAATAAGTTTCTTTAATTTAATAATTTATAAATATATTTTTTATATATTGATAATTTTAGCCACGGAAATTTCCCAGCTGTGCCATCTGCAACTTTGCCTGAAAAATATTAAATTTAATACATCAGTAACACATATTAATTTTATTTAAATTTATCAAATAATTAAGTAATTAATTAAATACCTTCATATTTTTCACTGACAGTAACCCTTCAGTAATCTGCCTCTCTAAGCTTTCCAATTGATTGTAGTTCAGCACTTCCAAATCTTTTCCCATCAGACGCCTAATTAATTCCAAATAATTAAAAAAATAAATATTTACGTATATATTTATTTTTTTTAAAAAAAAATATGTGGCCATTTATTTATTTAAAAAAAAAAATCAAATCTTTAAAATATATAGTATATATTATGAATATACCTGTTGAGCACTTGGAGCCGTTGGATTTCTTCCTGCAGAGCAGTGATCTGAGCCATTGATTGCTGCATCTATAAATATATATATATTAAATATTAAATTACTGTGATAAATTCTTAATATTAAGTAAATAATGGTAAATTAATTTACGCACAAATTTACCTGCTCAGGACCACGGCTAGTTGTAGGAAGTCCCGGAGCTGCTCGGCGAGCTTGGCCGTACCTTGCTAGAATTTGCTCCATACTACAAATTAAATAATACACAAAATAAATCAATTATTAACCAAAAAAATTGAAGAAAAATTAACAAAGTAAACATCAAAATTATAGATCTGAAAATTTAAGTGGCGTAGATTTTTTTTTTAAAAAAGAAAGAATTATTATAAATAAAATTTACCCAATTTTTAGTTAAATTATTTATGTATTATCTGAATAGAAATAGTGTTTTACTATATTTTTATATATAGAAAAAAAAAAGGATTAGAGTATTTGCCGGTTGCTCGAGAATTCATAAAGTTTTCCGGTGCCGGAAAAGACGATGACGGCGACTTGGACGTCGCAAAGGACAGATAATTCCATAGCTTTCTTCAGAAGTCCGGCGCGGCGTTTCGAAAATGTGACCTGACGATTAGTACTATTCTCGATTTTCTTAATCTCGATTTTGTTTCTTCCCATGGCTTCTCCAGTTTTTTTTTTTTTTTTTTCCGATCTGGTCTGAAATGAAACGTATGAATACACATATATATACAGATAAGCATATGCCGAAAAAGTGAAGAGATAATCGTATCATGAATGCAATTTTCCGATTTTGAAGAGAGCGGTTAATTTATTACAAAAGTTTTGATATATCGAATTGTGCGTGTAATATTGTGTAAATATTCGCGTATTATATATTTTTAAATTATTATTCGTTCGAGAATATTATAATATGTGTACGCGAATAATATTTTTTAATTATTATTTTATGATATATTGTATAATATTCTCGGGAAGGGAAAAATATATTATATTCAATATAATAAATTTAGTAAATTTAAATTATATATTTAAATTAAAATTCATCATAATTTATATAATTCTCAATAAAAAGAAATTATGTTTTATAAAGTATCATTTAAATCAAAATTTACACTAAAAACTTCAAATAAAATATAAAAAAACCAATCGTTGTTGAAAATTAAAATATCAAAGCTTACTTTTCTCCCTTTAGAAATATAAACAAATTTTTATTTGTCTGTGGCTTCTTTAAAATTTATTTCATGTTATTTATCATTTTTCTTTATAAAAACATAAAATCAAATATTTAAAATATTATATAAGAAATTAATTTTTGGTTCAAAATATTGCATCACAAATTTATTTATATTATATAAAATATTATTTCAAATCAAATTTTTACTATTTTCAAATCTCAAACATTAAAAGAGATCACCAATTATATTTTATCTTTCAAATGATTGTAACAAATAATCAATAAATCACTTAATTTATTTTATTTTAATATTTCATATGGATGAAAAATTGTGTTTGGTTTTAGCTGGTGTCATTTTCGAAATAAACTCTATACATAATTCTTAATAAATAAATAAAATTATTTTTTCCCATAAAAAATATATATATATATATCTAAATACTATGATACAAATTCAAACCACTTGAAAATAAATAAATAAATAAACCTAGTTAAACTTGTTAGGTAAATTATAATGAGAACTATTTTAAATTAAATATTTATAATAAAATTACAGTATTTATTAATATAATTTTAAGGAGGTCATAATTAATTTTTTCCTTATTGTTAAAATGGCTACTATTTGAAAATGTTATTTTAGTATAACATAATAATAGTATTTTTATATTTTTAAAAAAGAAAAAATTGATAAAATTTTTGTGGAAAAATACATTTAATTCTATATGCAAGTTTTAGACATGGATAGAATTCAATTAATTAGAATTGCAACATTAAAATAAATAAATAAATAAAAGCTTATCTCATATTTATATATTTTATTTTTTTTACTAAAATAATCTTAATTTTATATACCTTTAAAGTGTTTAAATTTAGTATTTATAATTTTAGGTGACTTTCTGTTTGTTCACTCGAATATTTTTCAATTAAATAATTCTCTATCAATATTATTAAAAAAAAATAAAAATATACACACATATTAATATAATATATATTATCCGCTCATAAAAAAATTAATAACTTAATACAAAATATTATTTTTTATATTACAACCACAGTTGATTTAAAAATGCTAAGTGAACAAACTGAATATTATCAAGTGTGTGTTTGTTTGAGGGTTTTAATTATGGATTTGTGTTTTGAATAATAAATTTCTGAACTAAATAATTATTTAATATCATATAAATAGATATTGATATGATATTTTAAATATAAAATTAATTTTTAGTAGAATATATAAAATAAAAAATAGATGTTTAATTTAATATTTTTTATAAAAAAATTAGTAAAAATTCTCAAGAATCCTCTAAACAAATTACATTTGTTTAACTTTTGTTATTATATGTATGTAACATATATACATTATGTATTATATTTTTTAGATAATATATTTTAAAAAAATAACACATTCACACAATACTTAAAAAAGAAGTATGTCCCTTAGATGAAAAATAAATAAATTGAAAATATAGAAAATTTTGATAAATTTTATTAACAGTAAAAGATTAAATTTTATTTTATTTTGTCGATACTATTTTTCAATAAGAATTTCTAAAATATAATAATAAATCATATAAAATAATTTTACAGAAGTCAACAAGTCAAAAAGATTTTCAAATATTTATTACAAAAAAAAAAAATTTAAAATCAAACATTCAATTTAAAATAATAAATTTTATATTTTTTATAAAATTTTTCATATTATACAAAAAAATCAATTCATGTAAAATCGTTGGGTAAAAAGAAAATTTGTAAGGTGGTGTAATATTTATCTATACTTTTATGTAAAGTGAAATCTGATAGGATATTATCCCTATCCCTAGTGGTAAATAGTTATAAATATTTAAAATATGCAATAATATTACAAAATTATTTACTGCATTTATATTTTTGTCAAAAAAAGAAAAAAAAAATTATCCATATTAATGGACTTATGTACTTTTTCTATTATTCAAGAGTTTTTTTTTTCTTTTTTTTTTTATCTAAAAGTGGTTTTTCCATTAAAAAAAGAAAAAAAGAAGATAAAAAATTATATCTGCTATATTTTTTTTTATATTTATTTTAATATAAAGATAAAAAGAATTATCAATTGTTATCTATCTATATTAAAGTATATGCTAATAATATTTTAATTTTGTGTACAATATTATATCTATTTGTTGATATTTTTCTATAAATAAGAATGTGTTTATTTTTTTTTATTTATTTATCTCTCATAAAACTAGTCCTATTTTTTTAATTTTTTTATTATAAAATGTAAAAAATATATATATTATATTAAAATTCATGTCCAAACCAAATGAATTTTTGTAAGACGGACCGAGTATTTTTTATTATAAAAAAATAAAAAAAATATTCTATTCGTCTAAGATAATTATTTTATTTTTTTTATAATTGTCTGCTAGACTTATGCATAAATCAATTATAATAAATAAATAAATAAAACTTTATTTATTTAAAATTTTATTATTCATACTACTTTTTCTATTTATTTAATTTCTATTTATTATCTCTTTAATAAATTCTCCATAACACTTAGCACTTTATTTTTTACCTAGTTAATTTTTTAAATTTTTTACCTATATAAGTATATGGCAGTAAATGGGCCTATAGTGGCCTCTGGAGGCCCAATCCAAAATAATTTACATACGAAATATTAAGAAAAAAAAAACTTTGAAACCCGTGTAGGGCCCATTGGATCATAAGATCAACGGCTCATATTAAAAGTAGAATAAATTGAAATTTTATATGTAATGTCTTTAAAAAATTAATAAAAATAATTATTAGGCTAGTTTCAAAATTGACCTTAAAGAAAAAAAGAAAAGGACATTAAAGTTAATAATGCTTTGACTTTATTGCAAAATTTATAACTGGATTAATTAAATGTTTACAATATTTTTTTTTTTAAAAAAAAACATATAAATTAAATTTAAATGAATACATTTGTATTTATGTCTTAAATTAACAAATAAGGATATTAAGAATATACATATTTATATATATATATATGACTAAATTGCACAAAATCTACCTGTGGTTTCGTAAAATTGCGTCAAATTTTCTATACTTTTAAAATTGCGTCAAACTCACTCGTGGTTTCATAAACTCTGCGTCTAAGCCCATCGGCAGTCCTTATTTAAGAATGCGCTCAAACTACGAATAAATTTTAGAATTTCAATTTCTAAACCCCTAAAAATATACTCGAAATTAGTTATTTTCTCAGATTTTAAGAGTTTATTTTGCTGTTTTTTTAAGCTAAATATAAGAAAAATAGTTTTATTTGTAATTTTAGGGGTTTAGAAATTGAGATTTAAAATTTATTCGCAGTTTCGGCGCATTTAGGCCAAATACCGTTAAATAAGGACCGCCGAGAGGGCTAAACGCATAGTTTATGAAACCACGAGCTGGGATGTAAATACCCTATTCATTCCATTTTTTCTCTTATAGTGTGTTTGTTTGGGGATTGGATTTTAAATATACTATTTATCTCATTTTTTCCCTTAGGGTGTGTTTGTTTGAGAATTGGATTTTAAATACACTATTCATCTCATTTTTTCCCTCCAAAAACATCAAATCAAATATCTATTTTTTATTTTTTATATTATATTAAAAATCAATTTTGCATTCAAAACATAACATCAACACCTCTTTATACCACATCACACAACTATTCAAATTCAAAATTTTTACTTTTTAAATCTCAACTCAAAATCCAAACCCCCAAACAATCGTTAATGTAAAATTTCTCTTCATCTTTGTATCTAGAAATTTTTATTATACCTTTTGTCGGCAAAAAAAAAATGCTTCCTTTGTCCGTTTTTAGAGGTCACATTTACCTTTTGTGTCATTATACTCCATAATAAAAATATCCTTATATTTGTATAATTTTTTTTTCTATAAATGTACTTCTATTTGTATTATAAGACGCTAATTAGAGTATTTTTGTAATTTCTTTTTATTTGTATCATATTTTAATATAATAATTAATACTTCCTCCGTCTAATTGAAAGGTTACAATTTTTCATTTTCGTCCGTCCCAAAACAAGGTTACCATTTCCTTATTTAGTAATTGTACTACTTATTTCACATAATAAATACCGTTTCAACTTACAATATATTACACAAATATCATTACTTTTATATTACATCAGACTAATAGGGGTATTTTTGTCTTTTTTACAACAATTCAATATAATACTAATATTAAAAAATTTACGTGCAAAAAGCAAACGTCATCCTTTCGACGGAAAAAAGAGAGTATTTAAAGATTAATACGAAAAGAAGTGGAATGTAGTATATAATAAAATAATTAAAAATCAAATACAAGCTATAATAGTATTGGATTATATTGAATTACATTACTAGCTTTTTCATTTTATTATTATTTTATTAATATTATTTTTATTTATTCTCTTTTTCATTTGTGGAGTGGACAGCTCACCACTAAGTTACAATTCCGTGCAAGAAATTAACATCCCATTTTAATCATATCTATAAATATTTTATCCCCTGTTTGGCTGTTGACTTTGAAATAGTCAAATATATATATGGTGTGTTTTTATATCAAATTTTATCAAATTTTTATTATTTATTAAAAAAAAACTAAAAAATATTAAATTAAAAATTAATTTTACATTACAAATATTTTAGCAATATTATACAATTATTCAAATTTAATATTTTTACAATTTAAATCTCAAATTCAAACTTCAAAATCTCAAACAAATACACCCGGGCGTGATTAATTTGTATTTTAAATACAAATTAATATTATTATTTAATTTATACAATATTCAATAAAATTATACTCTATGCGGTCCAACAACAAGAGTTATATTTACTTTCGAATTATTGTATTCAATATTAAATTTATGTTTAAATTTGCGTATAATTTATTATACAAATATTATTATATGTGTATTATAATATACTAATTGAAGTAATTTTACTATTTTTTCTTAATTTGTACTCCTTCCATCCCACAAAAGAGTTGTCTTGTTTTTTTATTTTCGTCCGTTCCAAAACAATTGTCTTATTTTCTTATTTAGTAATTGTAGTCTCCACATTATAACAAAATTATTAATATTTTTTCAAACTACCCATAATTATTACTCTAATATACTTTTTAAAATCTTTCAAAAAGTAAGGACATTTTAGTCTTTTACATTTTATTTTATACATATTTTCAATTAAATACTATTATTCCTTAATTCCCGTGCCAACTCTCAACAAGACGCTTATTCTGTGACGAAGGGAGTATTATATTTAAATATAATAATTCGAATATCAACACGCAGAAAATAAATATATTTTTTGTTATTTTATATAAAAATGTTACACTAAACTCCCATTTAAATTAAATTTCAAATTAAGTGTTAATTTAGGTTGTGTTTGTTCGGGTTTGAATTTTAAATTGGAATTTAAATAGTAAAAATTTTAAAGTATAATAATCGTATGATATGATATAAATAAGTGTTATGCGATGTTTTAAATATAAAATTAATTTGTAGTCCTCCTATAATATAAAAAATAAAAACTAAGTGATTAATTTAATATTTTTGAAAAAATTATTTTTTATGAATAATAATAATAAAAAAAATATAGATGAACACACCCAATATTTTAATGTTATAATTCATTTAAAAATACTACTATTATCTTTAAAAAAATACAATATATATAATACTCTATCAATAAAAATATATAAAAATCAACAAAAATGCAGAAAATGTTATTTTTTTAGTACTTTGACAATTTTTCATACCTTACAATAAAAAATATATATTAATTGTATTTTATAAAAGATTTATATATAATATATTTTTATTAAAAATTATATTGACATAATAACATGTATTTTTGTTTAAAATACAAATCTAGCACACCCAATTATATTATAAATTAATTATATTTATATATCTAATAATTATTCAAATTAAAAATTTTAATATTCTCAACCTCATACCTAATACCTAATAGGCTAGAAAATTTGTAAATAACAATTAAGTCGAATGTAAATAGTAAAAATATAATATAGGTAATGTAATATTTTAGAAATATATAGTATTTAATATGATATTTAAAAAAATAATAATAATATTAAAAAATAATATCAAAGTTTCTAAACATATGTATACATAAACAAAGTTTTTTAATATTTATCAAAGAAAGAAAGAATTTTTATTATCTACATAGATATAAACCTCGAGCCTACGTGGATTCCCGCCGTCGGGAATAATCGTAGGCTCGAATCAAACGCTTTTTAAATCGTTTGAGGTTTAAATTTATAGTCTGATCGTCGAGATAAATTTTCTTCGTAAATTCCCATCCTCGACTCGAAACGCTATGCGGGTCTCTCAAGATCGGGTCATTCTTATCGTATTGATCGTACAACGAGCTCTCTTTCGGAATAATTTTATAGCCCATGTACTTCAACCCAAACTTCCGGGCCGGGCCGCCATAGTACGTCTCGGCGGCCCACTCGGTCCCAAGTGGCACGACTTGAATAAACACGCTAAGGGCCCGCATAAAAAGAAAATGTGTCATCGCCGCGCCGTGCACACCCACCATAACATCAGTCGAGTTCAAGGCCCGATAAATCTTAGCGAGCTCAGTGGTCCGTTCGGGCCTCAAAACCTCAACCCGAAACCCTAAGCCCGTCGCCATTTTCACTAACAAATCCTCGTTGGCTATCGCCCTCGACCCATTCCTCGACATTATAGTCAATTTGGGTCGGGCTGGGCCTTGAACGGGCCGGGGTGTTATTTTAGAGCCGTCAAAGTTTGGTCGGGCCATGGATCGGGCTTCGCGCTCCTCGTCCTCAATTAGCCCGCGGATGCGGGGCCTGTAGGCCCGATCCAAAAGCCCACGGAAATCTCGAATGCTTTCGTTGTTACCCATCAACGACGGGTCGACGGTGAGCTCATCGTGTATCCGCAACCCGAAGACAGCCTCCGGGAAGCAATGGGTCCGGTTGTCGCCGGAGAAGTCAATCGCCGGAAAATCAGAGAGCTCCGAGAGGACGTCACCGTACTTGGTGACCCACCAATTGTGATACTCGAGGATTACAAACACGACTTTTTTGTTCATCCGATTCGACGTGATGTAGAGCGGAAGAATCCCGTCGTTGAACTCGTGGTAGAGGTTTCCGGTGTAGCCGCCAGTCGAGAAGAACACCGCCGGGACGTCGTGCCGGACATCGCAGCGGTGGCCGGCAGCAGCAGCCAGGTCTGTCCGAACGACGAGGTCTAGCTCGTCGATCGTCTTCATTACACTGTCTTCCCATTTTCGAGTATACGGTTTTATCTTCTCGCGGCGAACCGCCGCCGCCCCGGCGGCGTCACCGGCGGCCGCGCCGTACATTGTAATTGAGGAAGATCCTGGTTGGGTTCTTATATCTCCTTTCATTATACAAATGTCTGATCTTACACTGCTTCTGTCGCAACATATGTTGCCTGCAAATTTAAGTGCGTTTCTTTTAACCAAAAAAGTTTTAAAAAAAATATAATTAATAAATAATTAAAACTATATTAACAAAAAATAATATAATATAATAAAAATAATTATAAATTAAAAATAAAAATAACTAATTAAAATTATACTACTATAAAATTTAAAATTTTGAATGTAATTAAAATGGGTAATTTTTTGAATAAATAGAAGTAGCAAGAGAGGTAGGATGGACAGCACCCCTATATGAACACGAATTAACAAATATATTGAATATTATAAGGGTGCGTTTGCGTAGGATTTGAATTTTGAATTAAAATAGTTATGCCAAAAAATATAGATAATTTTAAGAAATATTTTGAATATAAAAATCATCAAATTAAAATACAGGATTTATCCTAAAACATAAAAATTAAAAATAAAAATAAATAAAAAAATTGCTGGATCCGAAGCATCAAATTAAATATATATTCTGTATTTTAATAAAATACAAAAAATAAATAAAAGAAAATTTAAAGAATCGAATCACTGACCATTAGAGAGAGAGGAACAGAGCATAGTATTGGCAGCAGAGGCAACACCTTCTTTCTGATCATCTACAAAAAAGAAAAAATTAATAATAAAAATTAATGTTTTAAAAATTAATAATAAAGATTTTCACTCTTCATCTCATTTTTCTCTAAAAACATCAACTCAAACATTTATTTTTTACTTTTTATATTATATTAAAAATTAATTTTACATTCAAAACATCACATCAACACCTATTTATATCACATCATACAAGTATTCAAATTCAAAATTTTTACTATTTAACTCCCAGATCAAAATTCAAACCCCGTATAACACAACGTAAATAAATAAAAATAAAAATAAATAAATTCTTACAGAGAAGAAGAAGAAGCATGGATGGTAAGAGGAGGAGGGTGCAGGAAGCAAGAAGAAAGACCATAAGAAAAAACTTAGGGTTGGATCTAAGTCTTGTAGCTGTAGGGGCATAAAAGTAATTTCCCGGGCTTCGTAGTTCTCCTGCTCCTCCTTCGTCGTCTTCTTCGTCCGCCATGGCCTTCTTTCTCTGGTACTTTACCATGTTTTTTTCTTTCTTTCTTTTTCTTAGGTTTTGGAGATTTTTAAAGTGGTAAGGGAAGAAGAAGAAGAAGAGCTTTAATGGCGAAGGAAGGCAGGTTTGAATTGTAGCGTATGCCTAACTCGGGATGAGGATGGGGAAACACCACGGATACTTCTTTTTCTCTCTCTATATTTTCATATTACTTTCTCACTCTATATATATATAGATATACGTGTGTATGTATGTGTGTATGTATGTATGTATGTATTGGCTTTCTTGGGAAGGACAGTGGAATTGGATTCTTTTCTTTTTCTTTCATTTTTAGCTGTAATTATTTTCAAATGCTGCTTTTCTTTTTTTTTTTTTTTTTATTTATTATTGAATTTTTTTTTTTGGATTTGTAATTGAAATTTTACTTCTGATTTTAATACGATTTTATTATTTATCTCTTAATACAATAATTTTATTTATTATTTTTGTCCGTTTTAAAATAATAATCTCCTATATTTTACACCAATATATTAAAAAAAAAAAAAATTTTATTCATATTTATTAAATTTAGTATCTAAACAAATTAAGATCATAGATTCATACTTGAAGTTATAATATTTTTTAATTATTTTTTTATATAAATAATATTGTTAATATTTTAAATATTTTTATCATTATATATCGATAAAATATATATATTGTAGATATTATTTTCTAATTAACAAAATTTTACATAATATAATATAATATAAATAAATAAATAAATATTTTTTATTTATAATTATCTTGAATTTAATTTTATAAAAAATGAAAATTTTTAAATATAAATAAAAAAATTTGGTTATGAAAAAAATTATATAAATAAATAAATTTTGAGTAATCACATGTTAAAAAATAGAAATTTAATTAAATTAATTTATATTTTTTAAACAAATTTAAAATAAATAAATTTTTTAAAAACTGAAATCAGTCATCTTTTATTGGTCGGACAATAAAAAAATGGTCATATTTTATCACTCTCTTCGTTAAAGATAATATGTCTACATTGCATTACAGTAGATATGAAAAATTAGATAAAAGTATAATTACGGATATATTACTTAAAGTAATTATTATACAATAAAAAATAAAATTTAATATGAATATAATATTTTAATTAAAAATAAATATATTTAAATTTTAAAATATTATTAATATATATATATGAGATAAATATATATATTATAGACTGTAGAAGTATTCTTTATTAAGATAATTTTTTAAAAAATATATATATTTTTTATTTTTTATATTTGAATATTAGCGTAATTAATTTTGGCGATGAGAAAGAGGAACGCGTTGTTGAGAGACCTTAATCAGCTACAGCTAATAAACTCGGAATCATCACTGTCCTCTGCATCTTATTATTAATTTTTTATTATTGCACTCTACTTTTAAATATTCTTTTATTTGTAAAAACAAAAACTCAATATATTTTAAACACACAAAACAAATAGGCTAAATTGCACAAAATTCACCTGCAATTTCATAAAATTACATCAAACTTACTCGTGGTTTCATAAACTTTGCGTCTAACCCCTCTAAATGCGCTCAAACTGCGAATAAATTTTAGAATATTAATTTATAAAATCCTAAAATTCAAATATATATATATATTTTTTATATTTACCCTAAAAAAACAGTAAATATACTCAAAAATAGTTGTTTTTCTTAGGTTATAAGAGTTTATTTTTACTATTTTTTTAGGCTAAATATATAAAAATATATATATATATATATATTTGTAATTTTAGGGTTTAGAAATTGAGATTCTAAAATTTATTTGCAGTTTGAGCGCATTTAAGTCAAATACCGTTAAATTAGGATCGTTGAGGGGGTTAGACGCAAAGTTTATGAAACCACGAGGGAGTTTGACGCACTTTTAGAAGTACGAGAGATTTGGTGCAATTTCATGAAACCACATGTGAATATTGTACAATTTAGCCAAACAAATATTATCTTTTTCGATTTCTTCCCGACACATTTAGATAAAATAATAATAAATAAAATTAAAATTAGAGAAAAATTAAAATATTATAAAGAAAAATTAACAAAATTATATAAAATTTAGTAGTTTTTATTAAAAATATATATATTAAAAACTAAAACGGTAAATCAAAAAAAAAAATTATTTATACTATAAAATAAAAAATACATACTTTATTATTTTTAATACTAATAAAGACATATACTTTGGAAGCTGGGGTCAAGCCCCCTAGTCCCCTGCTAGGTCCATCAGAAATTTAGATAAAATAGAATTAGTAAGTAATTAAAAAGTGAATTAGTAAATAATTATATATTAAAATTAAAATAATTTAATAATTTAATTGAAAAATAAAAAAATTATAATTTTAAAATTTTAAAATATAATTAAAGTGTATAATTATATTTCAAAAAAAAATAATCGACAAATTATATGAATTAATATAATAATTGATTTTATCATATAATATATTCATATACATCACACATTATAAATATATACAATAGCACATATAAATATAAAAATATGTATTATTTGTATATTCTATATGTGTTGATTTTCTCAATTCAGCATTCTAACCCCTTCTGTAAAAAAAATATACTTAATTCGTCTCAATAGAATAGTTTAGTTTACTATTTTTATTCGTGCTAAAACAATAGTCTCATTTCCATAAATATACATATCACCATAAAATTATCTTTACTTTTTCATTATTATACAAATATTACTATATTTTAAACTAATAAGGGTAAAAAGATCTTTTATTCATGTATTTATGTTTGTTATTTTTAATCTCTTTTTGGTAAAAATAATACTCCTGCTTTATATGTCTTGTAAATTATGTTCACTTTATTAAATTAGTATGTCTACTACTCCCTCCGTCCACAAACTAATGTCCTATTTTTCTATTTGGGACGTCCAACAACTATTGTTCTATTTTTCTTTAAACATAAATTTTATATTTTTATCATTCATTCATTTATTACTTTTAATCTCGACCATACACTTAAGGACAAATTTGTCCATTCATAATAAAAAGACAATCACCTAAAAAACCGTGTAAATATACTTTAGGATAATAAAAAATGGACGGAGGAAGTATTATTTAGTGAAAAAGTAGTCTCTCGTCCCTTTTTTATCTATCCGTTTGTTTTTTGCACGTTATAAATATTAATATTATATTGGAGCATGTATTGAATAAAGTAGAAATGACTAAGATAACCTTATTAATATTATATGATATAAAGATAATAACATTTATATAATATATTGTAAGTTATAAAGATTTTTTTTTAATGTTGGCAAAATATACAATTGCTAAAAAAATTGATACTATATTAAAGGACATATCCAAAAAAAAAAAATGAATAAATTTTTAAAAAAAGAGGGAGTATAATTCTTCTTTAAATTCATACTCCACCATTTTTTCACATGTATAAATAAATACTATCGATGGACTCTGCATCGTTATTACACTTATTTTATTTTAATTGAAAAATTAAATTACTAATTAATCTCATAAAATTTAAGATTTACAATTACAAAAAGTACAAAAATAATATTAAAACACTATTTTTAATTTTTTTTGTATAAAAATATAAAATTAAATATAATATGAAGAAAACTATAATAATATTACTAAAATCAAAATCATCCACACCCTTAGTTTATAGATATTTTTGAGTTTTAAATAGTAAATAAAAATAGATGCCCGTTGGTTTCGGATATTTATGATAAATTTTTTATGTCTACTAAACCTATCTCTAATTTATTTAAAATAAATAATTTTATTAATTAGTAATTTTAATACTGAAGTATTAAATTAATAAATAATAAATAATTTGTTATTATCTTTATATTTATTTTACTATTTTTTATAAAAAAAATTATACATTTTATTATATCTTTATCTTACTTTCCAAATTTAGTTATATGTAAAAATTATTTATTAGTTTTCATATTCAAGCAAAATAGCATAAAAAATGTTGATAAAAATAGTATTATACTCCGCGGTTTGGATTTTTTAGTAAATTATAAAATAATTATATTTTATTAGTCAGTGAAAATATCCAAAAGAATTTTATATTTTTGTCATTGATATTTTATGTATATATATATAATAACGATGTATTTGTGATTTATATAAAATTTAATAATATTTGATATTTGTTGATGTAATTTTTCAACAAAAATAAAGTAAAATTCAAAGATATAGAAAATATCCTTAAACTTGATTAATTAGTGCCTGAGATTAGGAATCTCTAAACACTGTATGGTACAGAAAATAAACTGGAAAATAAAAGACTGAAATTTAAAGTGGTGATCCCCAAATCTGACTTTGCTTTGTTGAAGTTGATTGAAGATGCCTTGCCAAATGATGATCCAAATCCTTAAATATTCTTTGAAGAAAACCGTACTGAAAACCGTCACCCGAACGATTACAACGTCTCCTTCCCAACCGTCTTCCAACCCTTCTCTTGCTGACACGTGTCCTCAGCAGACCAAAACTATCCCCATATTTCACTCTTCTGAGCCGACTACAGACCTTCCGCCCTTTTAGCCCGACTGCCAATCTACAATAGTATGGGTCCGACTGCCGATCCTCCCGACTTGCAAACCATCTGACTTGTTTGAATTAGCTACAGACATCCCGACTAACAAACCACCCGATTTGTTGGTTCTGCCGCAGAATTCCGACCTGAGAACTTCCCGACCTGAGAACCTCCCGACTTACGGACTTCCCGTCCTGAAGGCCACTCGTCTTGAGGACCTACCGACCAGAGATCCTTCCGTCCTGATGACTTTCCGTCTTGAGGACCTCCCGACCTAAAAACCTTCCGACTTGAGGTCCTTCCGTCTTGAAGACCTCCCGACCTGAGGTCCTTCCGTCCTGATGACTTTCCGTCTTGAGAACCTCCCGACCTGAAGACCTTCCGACTTGAGGTCTTTCCGTCTTGAGGACCTACCGACCTGAGGTCCTTCCGTCCTGATGACTTTCCGTCTTGAGGACCTCCCGACCTGAAGACCCTCCGACTTGAGGTCTTTCCGTCTTAAGGACCTACTGACCTGAGGTCCTTCCGCCCTGATGACTTTCGGTCTTGAGGACCTCCCGACCTGAAGACCTTCCGACCTGAAAACCTTCCGACCTGAAGTCTTTCCGTCCCGTATTTTCCTTGATTTACACATGGTGTCCT